CACACGAGGAGCGAGTCAAATCAACATTCGGAACGTCTAAAGGAAACAGGGCGAGCTAAAGCCGAGACCAGGATACACTTTCAATGCGATGAGGATGCGGATGCGAAGAGTTGAGCAAATGCGTCGGGACACTACTCGGGTATGTTTGCACTGGGCGTGGTCGTGATCCTCCAACAAGCCAGCTTACACGAGGTACTGCTGCAGCCCGGCAGCCTGCACCTTGTCGGGGATCTGCGTGTTGAGCTGGCTCACAAAGCCGCACACCTGGCCGCGCAGCAGCGCTCCCAGGTTGTCCTCGTCGCCGGCGAGCACGTGCGCAAACAGCTGCAGGATGGTGTCGATGTTCTGCGTCGCCACACCGTTGTTGCTCTGGATGAGGTTCATCATGCAGTGCAGCACCGGCGACCACTCCGCCATGTCCTTCTGCAGCGGCAACGACGAGAACAGGATGGGCAGCGCCTGGTCCAGCGGCACCGCATCCGCGTTCTTGATGATCATTCTCGACAGGCACCCGCACGCGTTGTCGCGAGCCGTCTGCACCTCGTCCGACTCGTTCTGGCCCTTCTCGAAGAACGGTCGGATCGCCGCAAGCAGCGCAGGGAAGTGCGCGCTCAGGTCCGTCTGCGTGTTCTCGATCAACACGCCCGACGCGAAGACGGCGTTGGAGCGCACCGACGCCTCCTCGTCCGACAGCGCGCGCGACAGCAGGGACAGCATGTCCTGCGTGAAGGGCGTGATGGCTCCCTTCATGCCCGTGATGATCTCGCCCAGCGAGCCGATCGCCGTAGAGCGGTCGCTCATCGATCGGCCAGGAGTGTAGTACTTCATGATCTGCGGCATGAACTGCTTGAGCGGGTCGGTGAAGTCGGCGCCCAGCACGTTGGCCATCGCACCCACGAGGTCCGACGCCGCCGACACAAGCACCGACTCGTACTCGGACGCCTCCTCGTTCTCCTCCTCGGGGATCTCCGAGTCGAGCTGCGGCGGGCTCTTCTTCTCCAGGATCATGATCGTGTACGTGCACACCACATCCAGGTGGTCCGGTGCGATGATCGCAGGGCCGTTCTTGTTCAGGCACTCGGCCAAAGACTGGCACACCTCGATCGCGGCGGTTCTGTGATGCGACGAGCAAAAAAGATGCAGCGTGTCAGTTTCAGCTTTCCGTCGACAAGAGAGGGCTTGAGCAGCAACGCGCCGAGACTCGAGCCGAGCAGGTGGCCGGATCAGTGAAATATAGGTTGAAAGTTGTAGTCACTCGACCGCTCCTATAACGGACGTCATTGTGAGCTGAGAAAGTTTGTCATCCTTTGGAGGCCGTGCTGCTGCTGCTGCGGCGACGTCTGCGGCTGTCTCGGCGCGTGTGCGTATGCTCATGGGGTATCAAGGCAAGAGGGGGTATATTAGAAACTTACCGGTCATCTTCGCTCTCCCACATCTCCATGACGGCAGGGATGACGGCGTTGACGAGCTTCTGCACGTCGGCGTTGAGCGGCACCTTGACCTGCACGCCAGCCTGCCACGGCTGCGGGTTGCTCAGCTCGTTGAGCGTGTTGATGAACGTGAAGAGCGCAGAAACGGCGCTCTTGCGGATGCCCTGGTAGAAGTGCTCGAGCAGGATCACCAGCTGCTCCACCGACTCCTGGATGTAAGGCAGGAAGCCCGACTTGGTGTGCGCAAAGATCTCGCCCAGCGAGTCAGCAGCCACCTCCTTCTCGATGGCGATGGCCGAGTTGACGTTGAGGAAGGCGTCGTTGAGCTCGTCAATGTCGACAAAGCCATCGTCGTCGTCATCGTCGCCACCGGCGTTGAGGCCGGGGATGCCGATGCCGTTGACGGTGCCGTCGCCCGAGGCGCCGGGGACGGGGTCGTGCTCCGACTGCTGGCACGAGTGGATGAGGCGCGGCACGACGTGGGGCAGGAAGGGAGTGAACTCCTCGCCAAACACGCGCGACATGACGGCGAAGAAGATGAAGCTGCACTCGCGCAGACGCGGGTTGTTGAGGTCCATGCCCTCGAACGCGAGCTTCATGAGGTCCTGGAAGTAAGGACGGAAAGCCTCCTTGCCGACGGCCTCGGCAAAGGTGCCGACGGTGTCGGTGGTGATGCCTCGCAGGTCCATCGCATCGCCCTCCTCGGTGAGCGTGAGGAAGGGCTTGATGCGCTGCATGGTCTGGTCAAAGTAAGGCAGGAAGCCCTCCTTGGAGGCGTGGGCGGCACTGCCGATGGCGCCCGTCACGGTAGCCTTGACGGGGAGCGGGGCGGTCTCGAGGAGGCCGGCGAGGCGCTCCATGATGGCGGGCAGGTACTGCGAGATGTCGGCACCCATGACCTCGAGGAGCGAGTCAAGGGCGGTGCAGGCGGATCGCTGGGTGGCGGGGTCGTTGACGAGCTCCATGATGACGGGCAGGAGCGTGGCGTGCTTGGCAGCGCACTCCTCCTCGAGCATCTCGCAGAGGCAGCCGAGCGCAACGCAGGCGGCCTTGCGGACGACGGCATCGCCGTCCTTGAGACCAGCCTCGACGAAGGGCCAGAGGTCGTTCATGTGGGGGCGGATGTACTCGGAGCAGCCCTCGACAGAGACACCAAAGGCCATCATGGCGGCCTTGCGGTGGTGCGGGTCGGGGTTGGCCATGTAGGCCTGCATCTGCTCGAGCAAGGGAGGGAAGACGTGGCTGGGGGGCAGCTCGGTGGCGAGGCCGTCGATGACGCGGAGGGCGAGACGCGAGGGCGAGTCCTCGTCGACGTCGTCCGAGTCCTCCTCGACGGCGATGGGCATGAGACGAGCGATCATGTGCTTGGCGAGGCCGAGGCTCTGCACCTTGGAGCGCTTGTAGGAGCAAATCCAAATGAGCGAGTTGAGGCACATGAGGCGGAGGTCCTCCTCGTGCTCGGTGTTGGCGCCGTTGGCGAGGAAGAAGTCGATGAGCTCTGCGATGTGGTTGGAGATGATGGGCACCTCGAGCATGCAGATCTCCTCGAGCACGTCGAGGATCTGGCGGACGCCGTCCTGGTTGCTCTGTTCGAGGCACTGGTTGAGCACGCCGACCATCTGGGGCACGGCGGACTGCATGGCGGCGAGGTCGGCCGAGGCGTCGCTCTCGAGGTTCTGTGCGACCTTGCCGAGGGCGCGGACGGTGGTGACGCGCACCTCGATGCTCTCGGGGTCCTGGAGGCTCTTGGCAAAGAGCTGCATGATCTGGGGCAGGTGCTTGTCGAGCGCCTCGCCACCGTCGACGAAGGTCTCGAGGACAGTGTAGAAGACGAAGAGCGAGACTTGCCTGTGGGTGGCATTGGGCGAGTCGGCGGCGTTGAAGAGGAAGGGGAGGAGGTCGTTCCAGGTACCCAGGGGCAGCTCACGCTTGGCGATCTCGGAGATGACGCGTGCGATGGAGTTGCGGACGGGGGCGGCCTGCTCGTTGGTGACGACCTCGAGGAGCTTGGCCTTGATGCCGTTGCGGACGTCTGCGGGCTGCTTGTTCCAGACCTTGCCGCCGCTCTTTGCGAGACGCTTGCGGAGCTCGACGGCGGCGAGCTGACGGACGGCGAGGTCGGGCGAGGTGGCGAGGATCTCGAAGAGCGCAGGCACACACTGCGGGTTCTTGTAGTAGTTGTTCTGGAGAGCATCGGTGGCAGCCTTGACGGTGTTGGTGTCGGGGACGTTGCTCTGCTTGAGGAGCTCGTGCAGCCCCTGCACGAAGGAGGGCTGTGGGGAGAAGAGGAACGCGGAGATGCGGCTGGTGAGTACGGAGGCCCTCAAGAGTATCGACGAGAGAGGCGGTAGGGCAGCACACGGGCGAGACTTACATCCATGATGGCGACAAGCACGGCCGACCCGCTTCGGTCTAGCTCGGCACTTGTAGGTGTGTGGTAGAGAAGAGGTTCGCAGATGGGATATCGGCAAACGATGGCGCGCGACGATGACACGCCTAGCTTGCGAGAGAGTGCCCGCGTAAGGAGGCACGAGTCGCAATGGGGTGAGAGGTAGATGTGAGAGAGCCTCGATAGTATCCGCGGGTGGATAGACGAGGGTTACAGACGAGGAAGAAGGGGAGGATGGGGATCGGAAGGAAGGTCGGGTGCGGGAGAGGTGCGGGTATGAGGTCCGCACTCGAGCCTCAAGAAGAAGTGCCTCGCGAAAAAGAAAAAAAAGTTGCAGCCAAGCGTGCCACGCTGCGTGCGCCTCTCGGCGAAAGGAACACTTTTTTTTAGGAATTTTTTGTCTTCGTGCGCCTTCCTGCGCGTGAGGTGGAAGAAGAAAAATCTCGCAGATCCAGAGTTCAAAACTGAAATCAACGCACAGCGCACAGCCAGGGCGTCCAGTTGCTCAAAGTGCATTGTCACCAGGCCCTCCCTGTGGCCGAGGAGGGGAAGGCAATGCCCCTTCTTTTGGCTGCACCTTGTGGTCGCATAGATGTCGCGACTCCATCCGACGCAGAGAGGGAACAACTGTGTGTCAGGGTTGTGTGTGGCGCGTTTGTGTGCCGCTTCGTGCGTATGTGCAGAGGAGGGCTTGGAGCTTGAGCCAAAAACGCATGGACCGTGGATGGACGGAGCGCCGCATAGTCGAATCCGCTCTTTTTCTGTCGCACGAGTCAACCAGAGACAGGCTGCTCGCACGGCTTTGTGATCGGCTCTGCAGCTCTGTGGAAGAGCTGAAAGAATGGAAATTGCTAGGCGTGCGGCCTTCCGTCATCCGCAGCAGTTCTGCAAAGTGCGGCGGACTGATTGGTCGCGAGGTGGAGGTGTGCTCGCAAAATTCCGCACAGCTCAGCAGCTCAACTCACAGCTCGGTCATTCAGGCAAAAGACTCGGGCCTATATGAGCAGCACACGGCGACGATTCCGCCCCCTCGTCAGCAAACCACAAGAGCCATCCGCAGACCCGTTCTGTTCTGCTTTCTCCCTCCATCCCAGCTTTTGCTTCTCCCTTGAACGTTCTCATCCCCCACTCCGAACTCACACCAGGCAAGTAGGCTGGCGCATCTCGCCTTTCCTCGCCCAATGTTGAGGCCATCCTTCCAGACTCTGCAGCGCTCGCTGCACAGCTCGCTGCTCGTCGCCCGATCCTCGGCATCGTCCTCGATCGCAGCTGCAGGTCGCAACACTGCTCCCGCGCAGCCATGGCGCTCGCTTTCGTCCGCGGCCAAGGGCGCCAACTCCACCCTTGCGTCCATGGCTCGTTCGCAGCTCGCTGCGCCCAAGTCGTTGCCCAACGCACAGACGCAGGTCCGAGGAGTTCGAACCAGCCCCTTCCGCCCCAACGGCGGTAGTGGCTCGGGCGGCCGATTCGCCTTTGCTGCGCCCCACACTGCGCCTGCCGCGGATGCGCCCACCAGCATCTCGCAGCCAGGCGGCTGGACTCGCGCCCTGACCAGCCTCGGCATCATCGGCGGCACGGCGTTCGCCGCCAACATGTTCTTCAACCGTGAAACGCGCGACTCGCTGCATCCCGTCGAGGCAAGCTACCTGCACAGCACCTTCATGTACCTCGCCGGCGGCCTCACCCTCACCGGTGCTGCCGCCGTGGGCCTCCACCGCTACGGCGTCTCGCAGCGCGTGATGATGGCGAACCCTTGGCTCGTGCTCGGTGTCGGCCTCGTTGCTAGTATCGGCGGCATGATCGGTGCGACCTCGCTGCCACCCGGTCATCCCATGAAGGTGCCGTCGTGGCTACTCTTCAACGCTTCGCAGGCCGCCGTGTTGAGCCCGCTGCTCTTCCTCAACCCTGCGGTGCTGTCGCGTGCGGCGCTCTACACCGCCGGTCTCGTCGGCTCGCTCTGCTACGTCGGCGCGACGGCCAAGGAGGACAAGTACCTCTGGATGGGCGGCCCGCTGCTCGCCGGTGTGACCATCGTGGCGCTCTCGTCGCTGGCTCCCATGATCCTGCCGCGCACCGCCTTCCGCACGCTCGCGGCTACAGAGGCGCTGTCGCTCTATGGCGGTCTGGCCGTGTTTGGTGCGTTTGTGCTGTACGACACGCAGAGGATCCTCAAGCATGCCCAGATGGTGCGCGCCGGATACACGCAGGGCGACCCGCTCGCCGAATCGATCAGCCTCGAACTCGACTTTATCAACATCTTTGTTCGCATGGTTCAGATCCTCGGCATGCAGCAGAACCGCCGCAAGTGAAACCGTGGCTTGCCCGATTCCATGATCCCTCGCTGCTTCTCAGGCAGCATTGTACCACCATCCCGTCCTTGGTTTCGTGTCCGACTGTTTTTCTATCCGCCCAGCATTGCATCGCCTTCCACGCCCACCTCAAGTATTCCAACACCGCTCTCTTGTGTTTTGTATCTCAAGCCCTCGCCGATTGTCTAATTGTAAGATACCTGTTGTCGATGGGTTCGTGCTGATTTCGTGGTCCTTGTTCCAGATTCCCTTCCCCCATCTCCTCAACCCCCTTCGCGACTGTGTTGCCTTTCCCACTTCCACCTTCTCCCCCTTTCTTGAGGTTTACGTCCTCCCGTTATATTCATCACAGTGTCCTTTCTTCAGTGGACATCTGGTTGAGGGAAAAACGGGACAGAGCAATCGATTCCCCTTTACCGGGGGGTTGACGGCATGATATACACATTACCTGACTAGCTTGGAACGCCTCCACCGCTAACGGGCAAGAAATCGTTGTCGACATCCTCGTCTTCCCTGAACGTTCAATCTCAATTCTGTTTTAACACTTCAGCGTTGAACTTGTGTGTGCAAGTGTTTGGTGTTTGATGGATTGCAAGGGGGTTTAGAAGAGGTAGCGTTTTGCGTTTTCGATACGACGCTTTACTGATGTGGCATCAGGCGCAGTGGGGTTGACTGGAGCGGGGCGTTGAGCGTGTGGTGTGGGTCGCTTTTCAATCCCAGGCTCGACGAACGTCACCCTGAGCGCCGAGACGAGTTTGCGACGCTGGATGCGCTTGACCGCCTTCATGCGCTCTTTGTCTACCGAAGCCAATGCGTCGGCTCGCGCTCCAGTCATGGGTTGCAGTTCAATCGCCACCGACTGTGCAGCACCAACCTCACCACTTGGTGTCACAGGCTCCATGCCAGCCGCGCCCTGTTGTGGCAGAACGTTGATCTGTGCCACAATGCCCAGCTCTGCAAGGAAGGCGTCGTCGGCGCGTTGGCGGTTGTACTCGATGCCGCGCAGGTAGATCTTGAGATCCGTCAGCAGCGCCGAAAACTCCTTGGTCGGTAGCGTGGGGTCTGCACTTGCATTTTTGCGCGGCGAGCCCTTATCCACCTGGCCCTGCAGCTGCGAACAGCGGGATGAGTTGAGCCACTCCACCAGCCCAAACGGTGGCGGAGAGTACTCGTACTGCTTGAGCTTCCTGCGCGCACTCGCCGGTTGTGGAGCTGGATCGCTCAGGCCCGCCGACGACGAGGGCGACGCATTGTACACGTCAACATGGTCGGCGGGCGAAAGCGGCGACGGCGTAGCAGCCGCACTCCCTCCCACACCAGCACCTTGGGCAGATGCCATGTAGAGCGAGGGTGGCAGCTGCGCAGCACACGCCAGGTACAGGTCAAGCAGCTCGTGCACGCTCTCCTCCACATCTTCAACGTGCACGTGCAGCGAAGCATCGCACTGTGGTGCCATCTCCGACAGCGGTACCGGCACAGCTGCTCCGGCGCCAGTCGTGGTCGGCGTGGCAGAAGTCGAAGCTGCCCGAATGCTAGCCAGGAAAGCCTGCATGGGATCGGCATCATCGATTTGCAGGGGATCGTTGGATCGTTCTTCGCTGTTCGTCGATGTGGGCCGAGAGGGAGGACGCGCAAGCAGCGCCGCCGCATAGAGCGCAGCAGCCGCAATCACGTTGGGCGCATACTGCATTGGCGCAGACGTCCTAAACATGTCGGCCGCCACCTTCCACGCCGTGCGGATGAACGACTTGGGCATGTTGCTCTTGCGCCCGAGCTTGATGACCATCTTGAGCGCCGTGTGCGCGCTCGAGTGAAAGTTGAAGCACAGACTCTCGAGTATGAGCTTCTCGAGGCTGAGCAGGCGCTTCCTCTCGCCTTCGAGCACGTTGGGGTCGATGTCCGACTCGGCCACGCTGCCGATAGGCATAGCCAGCGGTCTGGAAGCCGAAGCGTCACTGGCAGTGGTAACAGCATGCTTGCGTTTCTGGCCGGCAAGGGTGGGAAAGGTGAGCTCGTCGGTGTTGAGCGCATCCTTGGAGGTCGACGGTACGGGTGTGTCGGACGAACCGCCTCGGACGTACTGCGGGTATCGAAGCGCATAGCTGGCGAGGAGGATGTCGCGCGGCTTCTTGTGCGTGTCGTTGAGCTTTGCAGCGACAAAGAGGGATGCAACGGCGGTCTCGTGCAGCACGAAGTCCGAGGGCGGATAGAAGAGGTGGAATCGCTGGTAGATCTGCTGCGCCGTCGCCGTGGTTCGCTGTGGAAAGCCGAGACGCGATGCGACGGACTGGATGAAGCCAGTGGCGATGTCGCGGTTCGTCTGCCACGTCGACGCCGACATGCGCTGCCCACGCCGCCGCGCGTACAGAGTCTCGAGCTGGATGGCGGTGAAGTAGGGGAGGTGCGAGAAGGTCGGGATCGACGCTGGCTCTTCCATTGTCGCAGCTGTCTCACCCGGCGCCGACTTCTGCCAATTTAGGTTCTTGAGACCAGTGTCCGGTACGTGATATGAAGGGGTTGGTTGCGATGCAAAATCGGGGACAGGCCTTGGCGGATTGGCCCAACCACCGCTGCCCTCTGCGGCGAGGGTACGCCCTTGCGACTGGGCGGGCATGGTAACCACTGTACAGCTTTTAGCGAGCTTGCGACATGTCCTCTGCAGTGATTCCTTGCCTAGTCGAAGACGTGCTTTCGTCCTGCAAATCGGTTGCGGTTGATGGGTGAGAGTCCAGAGACAGGGCGGACGACCTTCGATGGTGTTGGTCTCGATCCGCCCAGCTGCGGCTTTCGGAAGTGAGATTTTGGTGCGAGGACGAGGTGGAGCGAAAGGCGAATTTTGTGTCTGTTAAACCGGACGCGCGGCTTTGTGTTACACCGAACCACCCGGCCACCTGCGAGGTGCAGCAATGCCAACGCCGCATGAGAGATGGCTGCAGCAGAATTTCGAGGGGAGGTCCCCCGGTCGCCAGCCGGCCGTGCAGCGGCAGCAGAGTGTGTTCACGACGTCACGCGAGGCCGATCTGCAAATCGTCGGCCAAAGCACCTCAACGGCGAATTCCACCCAGCCAAACTAACAAACGCGTCCCTTTTTTTTTTTTTGGATTTTGGGGCCGCTCTCTGTCGTCACATTTCGCCCTGAGCCATGTGATTTTGTGACTTTAGACTTTGTTGGCGGCGGGCCGCAGTGCTGCTGCTGTGCCGGTGCCAGCTGCCTTTGTTCGCCGAGGCTTGGCTTGCAGATGGCTGCCAGCGCCATCCTCGTTCCTGTCACCGGTCTTTTCGCACATAGCACCGTTCCTTCTGACCACATCCACCACCACGTTCGAGGCATTCTCATACTCGTCGTAGATCTACTTTTGTCCTTGCACGCTTCGTCGACGCTTGGTCCGTCTCTCTGTGCAAAGATCAAGCCCACCTTGCTGCTGGTCAGAAGGTGGAAGGTCGCTTTGGTCCCACCGGCGCCCCTGCCAGTAGCCGCAGCTGGGTCTCATTACGCGGACTTCTGTCGCCTGCAAACCACGCCCCTGTAACAATGGCACAGAACCCACGCCCCGGCCTCCGCTCGCAGGAGTCTCTGCCAGACAGCTTCGTGCAGAACGGTCCGGCTTCACCGCCATACCAGCCTCAAAACCCGTTGGATGCCATGCCGCCCATCTATGCGAGCCAGTCGAACCTCGCCGAGCACGCCTCCCATCCCGACCAGCACATGATTCGCGACGCTGCACTCGCTGCTCTCGCCTCCGGCGATGCCATCACGTCGGGCTCACAAGCGCCCTCGCCGGATCGCAAGGTTCCTCACCAGGCCGCTCACGACACGGGCATCCTCACCGAATCCAGGACCGACTCCAACCCCTCTTCGCGTCCCGGCACCGCAGGCCCCCGTGTCGCAATCACCGACCCGCTCGCCGAATTCCGCGACCGCAACCTCTCCAAGCCTGCTGGTCTCGGTCCCAAGTCCGACTTTCCTCCACACGAGACCAACCGCACCCCCGGCGCATTCAACTACCAGCACAACGTCGCATACCGCCCCCCCTTCGTTCGGCAGGACAGCGAGCTCTCTAGCGAGAATGGCGACCGCGACTACGGCGAGTTCGATTGGTCCGACGAGGACGATCTCGACGAAGCCGCCCGCTTCGAGAACGAGCAGGCAAAGCAGGTCCGCATGGGCCGCTTGAGCCTGTGGAAGATCCTCAACTTCCTCGCCACCACCTTTCTCGGCAACCTCATCATCTCTTGCTGCCTCCTCGTCCCCGTCATCGTCATCCAGTACGTCTACCGCAGGCGCGGACCCGACGAAGGCCACCGCGATTTCGTCGCAGACAACGTCCAAGCCTGGTTCATCTGGGCCGCCTTCAACCTTCACGTAGAATGGTGGATCCATCTGCTCGTCGAGCTCTTCCCCAAGGCCGTGCTTGGCGTCATCCAACTCATCTGGGGTCGTCCTAGCCAGCGCGTCCTTTCGCTCGCAGAGTACTTCAACGCCATCAAGGGCTACCTCAAGTTCCTCTGCTACGCCGCTCTCAGCTGGGGCTCCTGGGCCATCATCTTCAACTCGGTCTACGGTCTCTATAACCACACACACCCGCGCCAGAGCAGGGCCGCCTATCTCTACCGCATCTATCAGATCATCGAGTTCTTCTTCTTCTTTACGCTCACCATCTGCGCCGAAAAGGTCATCATCAAGCACATCGCCATGTCCTTCCACAAAAGCGCCTACGCAGACCGTATCGCCAAGGTCACCAAGTCCCTCAAGGTCTTTGACTGGCTGCGCGACCACAAGCCCAAGCTCAAGGGTCGCGAGACCGGCTCCGCTTTCGGCATCCCCATGCGTTCCGCACGAGGCTCTCCCAGCGTGAGTGGCGCCAACACCCCCATGACGCCCAACGACTTTGTCCTCGACGGCGACAACACCAACTCGCGCAACGCCTCCAGCTCCAGCAAGGGCACCTGGTTCAAGAAGCACAGCAAGAAGCGTCCCTCGGACCAGGCTGCATATGCGGGCGAAAACGACCGCGCAATCGACCCTGCCACCGGCAAACCTGCCGAGGGTCAGGCGCCGGCTCGTGGCAGTGGCAAGTCCAACATCTTTGCTCGCACCGCAGCCCGCAGCAGACATCGCATCCGCGCTACAGCTGGACAGGCCAGTACGCTGGCTCGCGTCGCCATGAACGATCCATTCGGTCTGCTTCGCAACGAGGCGCTCGGCATCGGTACCGACGTCAACTCGCCTGCTGAAGCCAAGCGTCTTGCACGTTCCATCTTTATCGCCTTCCGCGGATCGCATAAGCGCAGCTACCTCGTCCCCTCTGACTTTGACTCGGCCTACACCAACCCACAAGACGCTCGTGACGCATTCAGCGTCTTTGACCGTGACGGCAACGGCGACATCTCGCAGTCCGAGATCAAGAACACCGTCATGCAGGTGTACAAGGAGCGCCGCTTCTTGGGCAGGTCTATGCAGGACGTCAACCATGCCGTCGGTCAGCTCGACGGCATCTTCCTCGTCGTCGCGCTCGTCATCATCATGTTTGAGGCGCTCGCCATCTTCAACGTCGACATCGGCAAGACGCTCTCCACCTTCTACTCGCTTGCCATCGCATTTGCCTTTGTCTTCAAGGAGTCCGCCGCCAATGTGTTTGATTCGATCATCTTTATCTTCATCACCCATCCCTTCGACACGGGTGACCGCATTCAGATCGGCGAAGCGGTGCTTGTCGTCAAGCGCATGTCGCTGCTCTCGTGCCTCTTTGTCGACTCGCTCAACCAGGACGTCTACATCAGCAACGTCATCCTCGCAGGCACCAGCATCATCAACATGCGACGCTCTGGCTACCAGTGGGAAGCCATCACGGCGCAGTTTGACTTCAACACGCCGCTCGACAAGCTCGATGCCGTGGAGGAGGACATGATTCACTGGCTCCAGACCGAGCCCGAGAGATTGTTCGTTCCGAGCACGGCGATTGTGCCGCAGAAGATCGAGTACATGCGAGCGATGGAGTGCACCATCGGTATGACGCACGCCGACACCTGGCAGGACTGGGGCCGTCGCTTCTACCGCAAGAACGCCTTCTTCGCCGCTTTCTCGTTCTACTGCAAGAAGCACGGCATCCGCTACGCCAACCCTGTGCAGCCCATCGTCTACTGGACCGAGGATGCCGCTGCTCTTCCTCCCAGCTACGACACTACGTCTAGCGCCCAGCGCCGTGGCTCGCAGGAGGGTGAGGACGAGAGTAACGGGTATGTGCTCGACGACTTTACCGCGTCTCCGTACGCCAGCCCGCAGATTCGCGCAGCAGGCGGCGCGGTTGCCTTGCCTCCCAAGAAGCCAAAGTCGTTCATGAACTTTACGCCGCCGCTCGACGAGCTCGAGGTGTCGGACAGCGCCAATGTGCGACTGCGCAAGGTCAAGCGCGGCGACAAGATGCTCACCACCCAGGGTGGCGATGGCTAGTTGCTCCTTGGCCTCCTCTGGCTCAGATTCGCCTGGGCCGTCTCGACGCCTTTTTCACTTGCTTCCGTGTCCCTCGTCATTTGTTTCTCCCCCTCGCATTTCCCTCGCATTAGACTCAACTTTCCCAGCCGCATTCAATTCATTTGGACTCTCTTCTCGACACAGAACCCGGCGTGCGCGTGTCGCTTCCTCAGCCTCAAGAATGTAGCATGGGTGCACAGGAGAGACCTACGACGACAACGGCTGCCTGGACTTGTATTACTAAACTCTACTGTGAAGTGTCGGAGCCATTTGTTGGCGTGTCGGTTGAGAGTGGATTGCTTTGTTACGACGAGGTTGAGACGGCGGTTCGACGCTGGAAATCGTTAGCGAGGGCTTGAGCTACGACTTTATGGATGTCGACCAGGCCGGCGTTTGCCGCCTCAAGAGCGTGATCTAGAGTATCTGCATCTAGGCCTGCCGTAAGGACCGCATTTGAGCCTGCGTCCTTCTTCGCCGAGGACAGCTGCGTCGAGCCTGCAGAGACGTTGAGACACGTCACCGAAGCAAGAGCTGGCATACCGCACAGCAGCACACGCGTTGAGGTCTTCATGCCCGTCACCAGACCGATGTCCGCCGAGCTTGGGTCGAGCAGCACGCGTTGCTCGCCCGAGCTCTGTGCTGGAACCAGAGCAACAGTACCGACTACGAGACCGTACATCTCGATACCTGCGGAAGCGAGAGCGGTTGATGCAGCCATACATGCCGCAGCAATGCACGACTCCTCCAACCCGTCCGTTTGTAGCACCATAATGTGGATGTCCAACGACGCTTTGGGAAGCAAGTCCAATCGTAGAGAAGGTAGCAACGCCTGATGAAGGAGTCCCGACAAATGCGCACTTTCCGTGGTCTAAAGCATACCACCATCAGCAACTTCATCAAACATCAATCGAGACAGAAATAGGGGGGAGCTCACCTTTCCGGGTTGCCTTCGTCGTCTCGAGGAGAACGGAGCGAACTTGACTTCGACATTGAGCTCCGCCTTGCCGCTATACTGGCGTCCTTTGACCTGCCTGGGCCCAAACACGGAGCACGCCAGCTTGAGGTCGCCAATCTCGACGTACGAGCTGCCAGATGCCGAGGGCACCAGGTTGGTCTGCAGAAAGATGGGTCGCAGCTGCGTATAGGCTCGACCGTCGGGTCGTTGTGCCGAAGTCGTCAGCGTCGGGGTCGAGCCGGAGGCATTCGAAGTGGATGCATTGTTGTCGTAGACAGGAACGTAGCTCGAAGGCCCGTTGACCCTTCTTCGGTCGTATCGCGACATCTTCCACGACGGTTGCTGCAGCTGTGGGGATATGATTGATGGGGGTCAACGAGCAAAGACGAGTGCGGAAGGCTCGAGGAGAGGAGCGCCAGTCCAAAATTCTTCCCACAAAGCCGCGAGTGGAGAAGCTCGAACTTTTTTTTCGAAAGATGTGAGATTCCTCGTCGCCTCTGCAAACCTCAGCCGCGCTCGAGCCTCCACCTGAGCATCGTGCGCAGCAACACCTGCTGATCACCCCACCATCCCTTCAATGTGCCACTGGGGCATCACAAGCGCAACATGGAAGACATAGCAACAACATCCGCACAGGCGCAGGCATCCGATGCCTTTGATGCCGAACCACTCCCTGCATCTCTCACAAATGTCGAGCTCCAGCCTGACGACCCCTTTGACTGGGAGGCATACACGTAGGTACCTGCCCAAGGCTCGCATTTCGTACTCTGCGCTGACCGTCCTTGTTCGGCGATGATTGCAGCTCCAACTACCCTGCCTCTGCGCGAGCTCAACGCCTCGTGTTTATCGCGACACACTGCCCCGCCCTTCGCAAGACCTGCAGCAAGGCAGCCATGGATCTCTTCAAGCAGTCCACTCGCGACGTCTCTGCCTACCAGGCCATGGCGACCATTCACAACACCGAAGCAGCGACCGGAAACCTGATCCCGGCTTCCGAACGCGTCCAGGTCGACTCGGACTGGATCCAATCCTCACGCCAGCAGAACAGCGCCGAGCGCGAGAAGCTCGAGCTCGAGATGCGCAACTACCAGAACAACCTCATCAAGGAGTCGATTCGCATGGCGCACCGCGACCTGGGTGACCACTTTACACAGTCGGGCGAATGGTCCGAGGCGCTCAAGTCGTACACAAAGATCCGCGACTACTGCTCCACCACGGACCACGTGATCGAGATGTGCCTCAACGTCATCGAAGTCTCGCTGCGGCTCGAAAACTGGACCAACGTGCAGACGTTCGTGAGCAAGGCCGAAGGTGTGCTCGAATCCTACGTTCCGTCATCGGGAGCTGGTCAGCGCAAGCTGAGCTCGCTCAGCACCACGAGCATCGCTCCTCCTACCAAAGGCGGCTCGACGCCCGGTGCCGATGCGATTGGCGCGCTCTTCCGTGCCGGTGGCAGCTCGGCTGCATCCACACCACCGTCTAGGCCTCGCGGCAACACGGGTGGTGAGAGCGCGTCGCAGGTCGCTGCCAGCAAGCTCGTCGCAGAAACGGGTGCAAAGCTGCGTGCGGCCAACGCAGTAGCGTGCATCGGGCAGGGCCGCTACGAAGCCGCCGCAAAGTTGCTGCTCAGCATCGACTCGGCGCACTCGAACTCGCTGCTCGACATCATCAGTCCGTCGGACGTGGCCATCTACACGGCCATCTGCAGCTTAGCCACGATGCAGCGCCCTGCGCTCCGAACGCAGGTCATGGAGAGCACCAAGTTCCGCGGCTTCCTCGAGCACGAACCGTACGTGCGTGATCTGCTGGAAGCATTCAGCACCGCACAGTTCCGCAAGGTCAGCGCCATCCTCGACGAGCACCAGGCGCGTCATCTGCTGGACCCCTACCTCGCACCCCATGTCGAGTTCCTGCGCACCGCACTCACGCGGCGTGCACTTCGGCAGTTCTTCACGCCCTTTGACCGCATCAGCATCGCGAGGATGGCAGAGGCTTTCGGCTGGACGCACAAGCGCATGGCCGACGAGCTCGTCGTGTGCATCAAGCGTCGCGAGTTCCGCAACCTGCCTGGCAAAGCGGCAGAGGTGGGCGATGCCAGGATCGATACGATCAATCAGGTGCTCGAGTACCGCACCAAGGATGCGAGGAGGGCGGTGTTTGACTCGGCGCTCGAGCTGGGCGACCAGCGATGCCGCGAGACCAAGAGACTGCTGCTGCGCATGAAGCTCGTCGAGAATGGCGTCGTCGCCAAGGGCTCCTATTCTGCAGAAGCGTGGAGCCAGATCAGCAATCCTTTGTAGCACCAGCAATGCATCTGTCATCAATCCTTTCGGAGGCCGTCGTTGGGGTCCATGAGTGGCACGGATTTTTTTTTAGAATGTGTCAGATCGTGGCACTAACAAATTATGGTTTTGCAAATGCGCGGGCAAAGGACGCGCGAGCCGTGTGATCGAGGCGGCGGCTAGGGCCAACAACTCCACTTTGAACGGGCACACGCGAAGCCCTCGCTCGCTCCAAGCCAGCCGTGACGACTCGAGCCAACACCCAATTCCTCGGCCTCCATCATCTCGCTCACCGTCTCTGCACCACTCGCCCACTTCGACTCCACGAGATCTTTCGCATTCAGCTCGCACGACTTCTGATCCGGCACTTTTCACCGTTACGGCCACACTCACGACACCATGTCGGACGCACAGCCCCCCAACTCTGGGAACGGCGACGACAACCCACAGCCACCTGTATCGCAGGCTGGCCCGTCGTCCTCCACCGCCGCTGCCACGGACGGAGACACCAAGATGGCGCCCGCCGAGCCCGAAGAGGAGCCGCTGCCAGCCGAGATCCTCGAGGCATCCATCGACGAGATCCAGACGCGCACGCGGCTACTAGAGAACGACGTCAAGGTGATGCGTTCGGAACACATGCGCCTCATGCACGAGCAGTCGTCCAAGCGCGACATGATCAAGGACAACGCGGACAAGATCAAGCAGAACAAGACGCTCCCCTACCTCGTCGGCAACGTCGTCGAGATCCTCGACATCGACCCGGACATCGACGAGGACTCGGAGGAGGGTGCCAATGTCGACCTCGACGCGAGACGCAAGGGCAAGTGCGCCGTGATCAAGACTTCCACACGCCAGACCATCTTCCTGCCACTCATCGGCCTGGTGCCCGCCGAGGAGCTGAGGCCCGGCGACCTGATCGGCGTCAACAAGGACAGCTACCTCGTGCTGGACAAGCTGCCAGCCGAGTACGACTCGCGTGTCAAGGCGATGGAGGTGGACGAGCGACCCACCGAGACGTACACGGACATTGGCGGTCTGGACAAGCAGATCGAGGAGCTGGTCGAGGCGATCGTGCTGCCCATGCAGCAGGAGCAAAAGTTCAAGAACCTCGGCATCCGCCCGCCCAAGGGTGCGCTCATGTACGGCCCGCCCGGTACGGGCAAGACGCTGCTGGCACGTGCGTGTGCGGCGCAAACCAACGCATGCTACCTCAAGCTCGCCGGTCCTTCGCTCGTGCAGATGTTCATCGGTGACGGTGCCAAGCTGGTGCGTGATGCATTCGAGCTGGCCAAGGAGAAGGCGCCGGCGATCATCTTTATCGACGAGTTGGATGCGATAGGAACCAAGCGTTTCGACTCGGACAAGAGTGGTGATCGCGAGGTGCAGCGTACGATGCTCGAACTGCTCAACCAGCTCGACGGTTTTTCGTCCGACGAGCGCATCAAGGTGATTGCGGCGACGAACCGAATCGACATTCTCGATCCGGCGCTGCTGCGATCGGGACGTCTGGACCGCAAGATTGAATTCCCGCTGCCCAACGAGGAGGCGCGCGCACGCATCATGGAGATCCACTCGAGGAAGATGGCCGTCGGTCCCAACGTCAACTTTGACGAACTCGCGCGATCCACCGACGAGATGAACGGTGCCCAGCTCAAGGCGGTTTGCGTCGAGGCGGGTATGATTGCGCTGCGCGACGGCGCAACGGTGCTCGACCACGAACACTTCCACGGCGGCATCCAGGAGGTGCAGGCAAAGAAGAAGAACGACCAGTTCTACTTCTCGTAGTTTGGAGCGCGATCCGTTAAGCAAATAAGATACATTCCATCGTGCCAAACATCGGAAGGGGGTATACAGTGGCGTGTGTGTGCAAGATGCTTGGAAGATTAGAGATCGTCCCAACCGGTGAGGTCGGCGGCTGTATCGTCGGCGTGTTCTGATTTCACAGTGAAGCCAGTTGGATGGGCTTGCTCTTGGGTGCCGCTTGGATCGAGGGCTGAGTCGGCGTCTGGATCGGGCTTGATGCGTAGCGCAGCAGTGGGATCGACGGCTTCCGACTTGATTTGAGCTTGGCCGGTGTTGATGTCGGGTTCCGGCTTGACGTGGACGCTGTTGGCCGCATCGTCACTGCCTGCATCGACGTCGAGTGGCACAGCGTCATCGGGCTCTGGTTTAGTGTGCGCCTCGTCCGCCGCTCTTGATTCAAGCTGATCGGACGGCAATGGAGCTGCCGTGCCCTCCGGCTCGAATGCTTGCGGAGGGTGTTCCGCAGGATGTTCATCCTGTTCTTGTGTGGTGCTGGTCTCTGCCTGCTCGTTCTGCTGACTCGTGGCTGGCTGTGACAGCTGCTGCTCCTGCGAGGCCACGCGCTTTAGCAGTGCATCCAACGCCTTCTGTCGTGCCAACCACAGCCTCTGCGCCCTCTCGATCGTCAGATCCGCATAGTCCGGCACAGCTCCTTTATGCGCAACATCGCCCATTGTCCCCGCTTTTGCCTGGGCGATCTTACGATCCAGATGTTGGATCCTCTGCCTGAACTCGTCCACCTCTTCTTTTGCCATGTGCTCTTCGAGTGCAGCTCTGGCTGCGTTTTCAATGTGCTCGAAACGCACCGGACCGAGCAGCTCGCCTCCGTACCACCTGCTGACAACGACGAGGACGTCGGAGGCGCCTTCGTCGCGCGCGACACGCAGCACGCGGTCGCCACCCCACCTCTCGCCGTCATCCTCCTTGTCTTCCTGCAGCGAAAAGTCGTCTGGGCCCGCAAGTCCCGTGCGGCCGCGCTTGAGCTCGAGCACGCGGTATGCATACATGTCGTGCGACGAGCCGCGCTTGTTCGCGGGCGCATTGGCAAATTGAGGCGGCAAGAGGTCGACGGGAACGGTGGGGTGGACGACGCGTGTGAGGTGCGAGAGGAGCACAGAGATGTACGCCGAAGAGGCGGTGGTGAGCGGATAGACGTAGCCGACAAAGAGCGAGCTGCGATCGACGATCTGCGCAGCCGTACAGGTGGTGGGCATTGGTAAAGACGCCGCGAGCTCCGAGACGGAAGAAGACGCGGATGGTCCCTTGCCGAGCCAGGCGGTGAGGGAGGGTGCGGCTGAAGATTTGGTTGCGGTTGATGCGGCGGATGGCTGGGTCGTCGAGGCGTCAGCCAAAGACTTGGATTGTGCGGCTTCCTTGCGTTTTCGGACATCCGCCCAAGCAGCTGCCGCTTCCACTTCGGCCTGGACTCGCTCAGCCTCTTCGTCAAACGAGTCGTACTCTTCCGCATCTTCGTCCGCTTCCGCCTCGGATGCGTTGCCAGCAGCGGGTGCTTTTCGTTTGCGTGCCGCTTCGCCTGACTTGGCGGTCGGTGCCTTGGGCTTACCAGCCTTCTTCTGCTTCTTCACTGCGGGCGTCAGATCTTCATCTGATGGTTCCAGTGCTACGTTTTGGTCGCTGTCTTGCGAGCTGGACGATGCTCGACGGCGTTTGCTCCTTCTTGTAGCTTTCACTGCCGGCTCTGGCGGTCTCCACTCGTCCTCTGAGTCGTCTTCGTCTTGAGCGGCATCTCCGCCGATGTCGCCCTCATCGTCGTCCTCGAGGTACTCTTGGCTATCTGAGCGATCGTCATTGTCGTTGCCATGTGTCGGCGATGCAGCCCCGGCGAGCAGCTTCTGCCGTTCTAGCTCGAGCTCGCGAGCAAGCTCGTCATCGTCGGAGCCTCTCTCTTCGACATGCTCTGGATCGATGTCAGCACTGCTCTCCCTGGACATGGTTCAAGGACGCCTCTTGTCGGATCCAATGGCGGCAACGAGTAAGAAGAAGAGCAAAGGGAAGGTGGCTCAGTCAAAAAGTGGAGGCATGGCCGGTGAATTTTTCGAAAGAGAACGTGTTACGCCGAACGCTGTGTCACGCGACGATGCTGCGAAAATCGAGACGCGTCTGGCGTTGAGAGGTGGGAAAAGGCCGGCAGCACAGAACAACACTTTTTTGGCGTGGAGCGCGTGAAGCCGACGCCGCCTCGAATCGAGCCAAGCAAGCCTCGCGGGAAGCCAAAACGCACAGATGCCAGAACAACAGCGGGCACCACCCACAGGCCCCTTTCTTCTCTACCTCGATCGACCAACAATTCGAGCCCCCTCACCTCGACATCACAGTGCGGAACACTACGGCTATAACACACAACGTCGCCCCGCCCACAACCATGGCGGACGCAGATGCCATCTACGAGCTCGCACAGCGCATAGAATCCAGCATCGAGGTAGACAAGCGCGTCGCTGCACTCCACTCGCTCCAATCGCAGCTCGAATCGGCAGGCTATGTCGTCGAGGCAGACGCAGTCACATCCGCTGTCAAGGTGGCGCTCAAACATGCCAACCAGGCGCTCAGCACCGCCTCGCTCGCCTTCATCCCCACCTACGCCTCCATGATCTACTCGGGCGACGGCACAGAATCCCACTCGGTGCTCAATCATAACGTCCGCATGCTCGTCAACTCGGTCGGCCTGCTCGTCATCGACAAGCTCGGAGACCAGAAAGAGCGCATCCGCGAGGCCGCACGCACCGCCATCATCGAACTCGCCAACGCCGCCTACGCCATCAGCTCCGGTCACATCACCACATCCGGCAAAGGCAAAGAGACAGAAACGCCGCTCGGCATCTTTGAGCGCAGCCTGCGCGAAGCTGGTCTCGCTGCCAAGTTCGCCAGAGTCCGAGAGCAGTCGGTCCTGCTCCTCCCCATCCTTCGCCAAAACTGCGAAAAGTATCCGGTCAGGCCGCTCGTACCTATCACTGTCGAGCTGCTCTCGGACGCCGACGCCACAGTCAGGGAAGGCGCAAGGTCCACGCTCATAGCGCTCTTCAGCAATGCTGCTCCCGCCGCCAAGGCAGACTTGAAGAAAGAGCTCGAGAAACGCGCAGTGCGCAAACAGACCGCAGACGCCATCCTCCGCGAAGTACTCGCCGCACCCTCATCCGTGGCACCTTCAGTGCTCAGCCCGGAGCCGGCTCCTGCACGCAGCCACGCCTCTTCTTACACTGACGCAGAAGTACCCGCCCGACAGCACAAGACGACAGCACCTTCCACGCATGCGGCACCACCGCCTCCGACAGCATCGGCAGCAGCCACCGCTACGGCCGACGACATCCGGCCCGTCTACATCGCCTCGCGCTCCGACCTCGAACGCACCTTTGCATCCATGCTGCCGTTCTTCGAGGGAAAAGAATCCGAACACAACTGGCTCAATCGCGAGCAGTCCATGATCAAGATTCGCGGCCTCGTCGTATCGGGTGCACACCGCCAGTTTGGCGAGTCCTTCTTTCTCTCGCAGCTCAAAGTCGCGCAGGAAGGCGTGCTCAAGTGCGTCGCCAGTCTGCGAACCACGCTCTCCATGCACGCCATCCACCTCGTCCAGGAGCTCGCAATCGAGCTCGGTGACGACCTCGCTCCCTGCGTCGAGCCCTTCCTCACCAGCCTCACTGCCATGGCCGGCTTCACCAAGAAGCTCATCGCCAATGCCACTCAGGAGGCCGCAGCCGCCATCATGGTCAATGTCAGCTTCAGGCCGCTCTATCTCCAGCTCATCTGGCACGGCATCCAGGACAAGAACGTCGCCACACGCACCGCTGCAGCCGAGCACTTGGCGACGGTGCTGAGCCACCATGCGGCGCATCGCAAGCATGCCGTCGAATCGCACGGCGGGCTCGACCTGCTCGACAAGTGCTTCCGCAAGGGCGTCGGCGATTCGAATCCCGCCGCGAGGACAAGGAGCCGCGAGGCGTTCTGGATCTTTCATCAATACTGGCCCGACCAGGCCACAACGATTCTGCAATCGCTCGATCCTTCGACAAAGAAGCAGGTCGCGGCCACGGCGCCTCCGGACGTCGAGGCAGAGGTGGTTCAGGAGCAGAAGCCTAAGAGCGCGCCAGGGCCCGTTCGAGCAAGGCCTGGCGGAGCGTCGATGGCTCTCATCCAGGCCAAAAAGGCTGCCGCGCTCAAAGCGGCGCAGGAACGCGAACGCCAAAAGGCCGAAGAAGCCGCCGCGGCGCACGAGGCGCGTGTGGCCGCAGCTCGGGCTGCGCTCGCCGGGCAGCAGCAACAAGAAATGCTGCAGCAACAGCAGCAAGACGAGCCTCAGTACGAGGCATATGTCGACGAAGCAGCGACGCCCGTCGCGCCGCAGCGCAAGGCGACTGGCTTCATGCCCACGCGCCATCGCTCGCAGCAGGCGGGGCAGGCGGGGCAGAGCACGCAGCTCAAGGCGACTAAGGATCTGTCGGTGCTGCTCAGTCCGACGGCCCACCAGCGCATCCAGACGGCCATTGCGGTGCCTCTGCCCACCAGTCCTACGCCCGTCGCTGCCAATGGATCAGCACCAAATCGCTACAACGGCCACGCGTCGCAGAGCGAGACGTCGTCGCAGCCACGATCGCCCGGGCTCAGCCCGACAGTGTCGCGCACGCGCGCCATCTCGTCCTCGTCGTTCTCCTCGCAGGGCTCCGGCTCGGCGTCCGGCTCGTCGGCGCGACACCACGCGTCCACAAGCACGCCACGCGCGACGCACACAGCCCAATTGCCCACATCTGACGCGCTCGACTCGGACCTCGCCGACCTCAGCGTGGCTGACGTCGGAGAGGATGATGAGACGATCGACGCCACGCAGCACGCGCGCACATCTGACCTGGACGCTGGCGGCGAGGACGAGACGCTGCAGCTGGCTGCGCCCGAGGACGCATCGATGGACCTGATGGGCATGAACTTCGCGTCGCCGTTCAAGGTGGGTTCGGGTCGCGCGGCCAAGACGCGGTCGGTGCTCGTTGGACGCGGCGCCGGGGATGCGGGCGACTCGTTCGAGCAGACGCCCCAGGCGGTGCGCACGCGTGCACAGCCGACCAAGACTCCTACACGCACCGTGTCGTCCGGCAGCTCCAACAGCACCGGCTCCGGCACGCCCGCGAGTGCGGTTCGCCGCTCAGGCCTGCCACGACCCGTATCGATGATCCACTCGCCCGCGTCGGCCGGGCTGCAGCCCATGCCGCGGTCCACGTCGCAGAGCGGGCTGGCGACGGCGTCGCGCGCGCCGACCAGCGGTGGGATGGCAGCGGGTACCGTGCTAGAGAACCGTGCAAAGCGGCTCGAGGCGGGTATGGCGTCACCCGCCAAAGCGCGCCCCGAGGTGTGGACGTGGATCGAGACGCTCAAGTCGGGCACGGCGGATCTGCGCACCTTCCGACGCCTGGCCAAACTCTCGGCTGACTTCAGGGTGGCTGCTCGCAGCGCTGGTGACGGTGGCGATGAGGCAGAGGAGGGCGACGAGACCGTGCTTACAGCTGGACCGATCGCCAATGCCTCCAACCGCGTCACGCCGTCGGATGAAGATGGCCGCAGCTCCGGCAAGCCCGCCAGTGGGAGCGATGCATTTGCGTCGGACACGGCGGCATGGGAGGAAGGCGGACTGTTTGTTGCGCTGCTCGAAGGTGTACAGCGCTACGTGCCGACGCAGGCGAGCGAGACACGCACGAATGCGGACGTCGAGCTGAGCGCTTTGGCGGTGCTCAACCGGCTCGTCGAGAACCAGTACCCGGTGCTGTGCTCTACAGCCACGGAGCGGTCGCTGCTCGACACGCTTTTGGGCGCCTTGGACTCTCTCTGCGGTGCATCGATATCGCGTTCATCGGCAGTGGTGGCGCACAAGACGATCCTCACAGCGTGGGAGTCGGTGCTTTCCACCTGGGCCCTACGCTGCGATGCAGTGCTCGGCTTCGACCTGCTTCTACCCCACGCACTCGATGCTGCGATTGTTCCCGTGCTGAGGTCGGGCTATACGCCGCTGCTGCTCCGCTTACCTTCGCAGCTTGTACTCGAGGACTTCCTACCCCGTTTGCGGGGGGTTATAGTCCAAGCTCTGCGTGGTGATAAGGCCGAGCATCGACTGGCTGCGACCACGATGCTCAAGAAGCTCAACGACGCCGCGCGACCGTATGTGGCCGAGTCGCACACGCGCATCTTTAGCGCCCTGCAGCTCAGTGACGCCGACAGGGCGTTGTTGGATGTGCTCATGTACTATTTCTCCAAGCCCTAATGCGGAGTGTTAGGCGGGTATGCGTTGGGGAGTGAGTAGCTGTGTCGCCGTCATCTGGGCGTCGTCCAGACGTTTTCGACAGTAGTCGAGTTGCGAGTGTGCTGTTTCCCCCGCTTGGTGATGGGGACTGTGGGTGGCGATCCAATCGAGACTGTGTTGGGTGCTTTCATGGTCGGCGTTCCACTGTGCCAGTAGGGTGCGGAGCGACTTGAGACGACGTTGGGCATCAGCCGTACTGCTCTTGGTCACCTGCGTATGTTCATGCAAACTCCCCAACGATCCCACCAGTGCGGAGGTCGAGGCATACACCGGTGCGAACATCCCCCCATCCAGTCCCTCCTCCTCTCGAATCGTTGCCTCCGAATCAATCGAGTCAAGTGAGGCCGAGCGATGGTGTGTGTGGGTGGCTGCTAGATCTCGGGCGAGTTTTCGGTCCAGATCGCGCAGTTCGCGCAGTTGCGCTTCTCGCTCCACCGTGCATTCCGAGACGAGCTTGAGGTACCCCGCAGCAGCCACTTCCAGCGGAGCCGTGTCTTCATCGTGCCCTTGGGTGGATAAGCTCGACAGCCGCGCAAGGAAAGCATGGGTGGCTGTAATGCTCTCCTGAATCTGCTCGGTCTGTGCCGCCGCAGCTTGCAACGACCCCCCACCCAAATTCGACGCATAGTCTTGATCCAAAACCTCCTCCGCTACGTTACTGTTGGAAGCAGGTTCGAGTTCGTCCGCTAAGCTTCCACTTCGAAGATGCAATCCCGGGTCAAGGTCAAGTTGACCTAGCTCATCGCCGAGAGAGCCTACATCGTACGTCTCGAATTCGTCCAGTGTGGTGTAGTGTGCATCAAGCTCACCTAGCGAGTCGAGAGTGTGTGCGCCAGATAGCTCGTCAGCTAGCGAGAATGCTGGATCCATCCTTGCCGTTGAAAGCGCGTGTGGTGCGGGGGGGGGATGGTGTGTTGGAGGTGTGCAAGCTGCCCACACGCCAGCGGGAATCCCGCACGCATGCACCACACACACGCGCCCCTCACCAAAAATGTGTTACTTTCCCGCTCACACTCCGCTCCCGCTCACCCCCACTCCACCTCGAAATCTCACATCGAGCAGCGGACCCTTCCATCACCCCCGCTCACAACGCAAAGGACACAACCATACAATGTTCGACCTCAATACCTTGCCACACTCACTCTTGCACTGCAACTTCACAGTTCAAACGCTCAAACAACAATCGCTCACAAGTGTCTTGTGGTGCAACATCACAGGTACCAACGCGATGACAGTGCGAACAGTAGAAAAAAAAAGGCGTATGCGATAAGACGATAGACTGTTATACTCTTACAATACACTTGCGCGCGCCCATCTCAGACGGGCGGGAAGTCCTTCTCGGGATCGAGATCAAAGTAGGGATGCTTGAGCGCATCGGCGACCTTGATCCTCTTTGCGGCATCGAACTCGAGCAGCTGCCTCAGCAAAGAAAGGAAGCGCGAGTTGTGCTTGGCATAGGCGCTCTGCGTGGCGGGCGTGTTGATGAGGTCGTGCAGCTTCTTCATCTGGCGCACGTACTTGCGGCTGTCCTTGGTCGTCTGGGCGGCGGGATACAGCAGCGCGCCTTTGTTAAAGTACTCGGGCTTGTACGTCTCGGCCTTGCGCCGATAGTCGTCGGGCATCTTGCCCAGCACCGCCTCCATCATGGCGAGATGCTCCAGATTGTCGTGCGTCTGGAAGAGCGCATCGCCGGTAAAGAACTCGACGAGGATACAGCCGATGGACCACACGTCGCACGGGAACGACCAGCCCATGGACAGGATGATCTCGGGCGCACGGTAGTGGCGCGTCGACACGACGCTCGAGTGGAACTCGTCGTTGAACGTCGCCGAGCCAAAGTCGATGAGCCGGATCTCGGTGTTGTGCAGGACATGCTTGCGCTTGGCGTTCTGGCGCCGCGAGGTGGCCACGATGGAGTGCTCGCTGCTGACGAGCAAAATGTTCTCGGGCTTGAGATCGGTATGCACGAGGTTGAGCCGATGCAGGAAGGCGACGCTCTGCATGAGCTGCTTGGCAAACTGCCAGATGTGCAGCGGCGGAAACGGCTGGAACTTGTTCTCCTTGAGAAAGTCGAACACGCTCTTGCCGAGCAGCTCCGAGACGATGCAGACGTGATTCTTGAAGTTGAACGTCTCGAGCAGATGGATGCACTTGTTCTCGTTGTGCGGGTCGTTTTCGCGCAGCGCGCGCAGCACGCGGATCTCGATCTGGCTCGCATCGCGGTACTTTTGCACCGCGCGGATGATCTTGATGGCGACGTACTTGCGCTGCTTCTTGTCGTAGCACTCGACCACTTTACCAAAGGTGCCCTGCCCGAGCAGCCGCAGGATCTTGTATCGGCTGGTGACGTAGTCGCCCTCCTTGACCAGAAAGTGGCCCTGGTCGTCGTCGACGGGACCCGAATGTGCGGCGACCGCGGCGACGTACGACGCCGAGCTGGCGTACGAGTCGCGCGTGCTGGCTGCCGATCCCTCGTAGGCCTGGCGCGCCTGTGCGAATGCGGCGTTGGCGTTGGTGGGGTCGTAGCGCGCCAGATAGTCGAGCGTGCCCGAGCTGGCGGGATAGCCGCCGCGATAGTTGGAGGGCACGCGCGCCTGCACCATCTCGGGTGCATGACGGTTGGCTTGCGCCAGACCGGCGACGCCCGAGGCGGCTAGATGTGCTGCTGCGGCGGTGGAGGGATCCGAGGGATCGTACGAGGTGGCGCCCGAGGTGGTGCCATCGGGCCTGACGGGGTGGCTGCGTTTGCGGCGCTTCTGCACGGGAGCGTCGGCGGGCACGGGTTGGAGAGTGGCGTGCGGAGCGGGAGCTATGAGGTCGGCATCGTGCGGAAGCATGCCGAGGTGAGAGCTGGCGAGCGCCGGATGGACGCCGTTGTCGTTGGCCTTGCGTTTGCCCTTGGAGAGGCTTGCGGCTTGGTTGTAACGCGGATCGGGGGCGTACGGATGCAGATTGGATGCATACGCAGCTGATGCGGCGGCAGTGTGACCGTTGAGATGCGCATAGTTGTTGACGAGGTGCGGATCGCGAGCGGCTTGGACGCTGAGCGGATTGGAGGGCGGCGGAGTATCGTCGTCGATGACAAAGACTTCCTGCACCTGCGGGGTCGACAGAGAAGCAAAAGAGATGGTGTGAGTATCGAGCTTGGTTACAAGGTGCGGAAGCAGATATACATACCTTTCCTCCGATGACTTCGTTGACTCTTTGGAATCCAGAGGCGGGCCGCGCGGGCCTGCTGCCGCTTGGCGCGGAGTTGGACATGGCGGGATTGTGTGTTGCTGTTGCGTATTGATATTGCTGTTGTTGGTGTTGATGATGTGCGGGAGGGATGGGATGTTGGTGTGCAAGCATGCTGGGGTGGGTTGGATCAGCGGCCTGAAGCGAGAGGTTGGCGTGGTCGAGGTGATCTTCCGGTATTGTCCTCTGCTTTTTGGCACGAGGCACGACGGTTGCCATGGGGCGAGGATGGTGAGGAGTAAGGCGCTCCTAGCAATGTGCGAACGAGCACGCGATACGACGGATGAGTTGGGGTGGCTTGTAGACGATGAATGCAAAGGAAGGCGAGGTGCGCGAGACGGCTGGATGTGCAAGTGGAGGTGGGGTGGATGGAGGTGCGATGAGCGGATTGAATGGACGCTGTATGGATAAGTCAGAGGATGGGGGCAGCGCTGCGATAAGAGATGATAGAAGCGGGAGCGATGGTTGGAAGAAGCAGCAGTAGCAGCAGCGAAGCGAGCGGGCGTGGGTTGGAAGGAGTGCAGCGATAGACGGCTTGAGCAGCAGCGGAGATTAGGCGCGTCCTGTTGTCAGAGACTTCGGCAGTGTTGCGGATGGGCGCGTATGGCCAAGACGGAGCTGAACGAGAGGGTCTCGCAGTGGACGACGACGCGATGTGCAATCGTTGGTGCCGTATGTAGCCGTGGGTGCGATGCGAACGTTGCGATGAGGAGGATGGCTGAAGGATGGCGACGGCCCAGCGAGTGAGGTTCGCGGTGGCTGAGGCGGGCGACAAATAAAATCGGGGCAGCAGAGCGCGACCGCCCAGCTGCCCGCCGCCCGCAGCAGCACGCGTTGAGCTTTGGGCGAGGATGATGCGATGCGGCGGCGGCGGCGGCGGCTGGGCCTTGACTGTAGCCAGAACTGCCAAATCTGCCAAAATCCGAGCTGGGCGCGAGTGGAGATTTCCTCTCTCTCGCTCTCGCTCTGCACCGCTCCCACGCTGCTCTAGTCCCCCGCCCTCGTCGCGCTGCTCAACCGGACCGAGTGCCTGCCCCATGAGCGAGTGAGTGAGCGCCACACTTGCCAAAAGCACACCGGTTCCAATCTCGCAATCTCACATAGTCTCTTGCAGAGAAAGATTGCGAGCAATCGAGCTACAGAGGGGTAAATACACTATCGAAAGCGGGGAGCGTGAGGATAGGCTCAAGCGCCGATGAGGAGCGGCGAGTTGCCCAGGCGCCGAGGGGAAGCCATCGGGCGTCTCCACCGCTCCCAGATTGACTGCACTGCTGCTGCTGCACAAAGGCAACTCTGTTGTGGGTGAGAACCGCAGTCGCGTCGCTCGGGGCGGTGTGCCGTGACGGAGGACGCGTTTACGAGCGACTTTGCAGCTTCATCACACGGCTGCCTTTCTTTTGATTTCACGCTGCCGTGCCGAGGAGCGAGGAAAAAAACAAAGCTCGACTGACGAGCTGCCCAGTCCACCACCAGCACCAGCAGCAGCAGCAGCAGCAGCAGCAGCAGCAGCAGCAGCAGCACAACGTGTTCGGCCTTCCACCTTTGAGTCGACTCGGCTTCCTGATCGAACCCGCCCATCCTCGCCGGCTTCTGTCTCGGCTGTCTTTCACGTCGTCGTCAGACACCCTCGCTCTCCTCTGCCAGCTCTCATAGCGATAGGATATCGCCGAGAGAAGATGAAATGCCAGCGCACGCAGACTTCCCGTGGCGCGCTGCAGCTTCGGAATGGCTGCATTCGGATCAAGCACGCTCGTCCAGAGCGGTCATGTGCCACGCCAACCAGCTCAGAACCGCCGCGTCATAATCCGAGGCCGATTTTCGCGCCCCTTCTCGTGTTAGTTCACAGGCTTTCACACACACATTATATTATCGGTCACGTGACTAACACTGTTTCTTCGCATTCAGCGCTGTTAGCTTTCAGGGCTCGGTGCGCAAGGCGTAGCGGAAGGTGCGGGTGTTGGTTGGCGGGCCGCAACTGAGCGCAGCTGTCGGCGCTCTCATCTTGGCTTTCTGCACCTCTCACACCCCTCGGCCTTCGATTCGCGTCTCTCGACTTACAACGACCATCATCGCTGCCACCGTCTCGGTCGTGCTTCTCGATACCCCCCTTCGGAGACACTGCAGCGCTCGTACTCTTTCCATCACCTGCCATCGTCCCTCGCGAGCGACACACTCACGCGCACTGCAATCCGTCCTACTCCGGCCGGCCTCCACTTGCATCGCCTATCCGCACTTTGTTCCGCACCTTTGCTTCTACTGCTGCACTTGCGTCCTGACATCGTACCCTAGCACCTCATCTGCATCCGGCTCAAGCACACGCCCATCACCATGGCAGGAATCTGCCGCAACCGCCTCGCCGAGGAGCGCAAGCAGTGGCGCAAAGACCATCCATTCGTACGTCCGCCTCCGCCTCCGGAACTCTATCGCTCACCCAGCATCACCAGCTAATACTCCGCTCTCACCCTCGCTTCCTCGTTGGTTTGCATTGCAGGGCTTCTATGCACGCCCCGCCAAGGCCGCCGATGGCTCGCTAGACCTCATGAACTGGGAAGTCGGCATCCCCGGCAAAGCCAACGTAAGTCAACCCTTATCCTACTCTCGCCCTCTGCATCCCTCACTGACATCTTGCACTCTGCTGTTCGGATACAACAGACGCCATGGGAGGGAGGGCTGTACAAGCTGCGCATGATGTTTCCCGAAGAATACCCGAGCAAGCCGCCCAAGTGCAAGTTCACCCCGCCGCTCTTCCACCCCAACGTCTTTCCCTCGGGCACCGTCTGCCTGAGCATCCTCGACGAGGACAAGGGCTGGAAGCCGGCGATTACGATCAAGCAGATTCTGCTCGGTATTCAGGATTTGCTGAACGATCCCAACCCGCACGACCCCGCACAGAGCGAGGCCTTCACCATGTTCCAAAAGGACGCCACCGCCTACGAGCGCAGAGTGCGTCAGCAGGCGCGCGAAATGGCCACCGCCGTCTAGATCCCTTCCCGCTTCAAGTGTCACTGTAATCTCAGCCGATTGTACCATTTACACCCCAGGGCCTCACAAGACGATCGATACCAAAGGCAGTTTGGATTCATACGAGTCGGGGCTTTGGCGATGGCGGATTCAATCGTCATCTTCCTTGATCTTGGAAGCTTGACCACGCGCTTCTTCCTGCTGCACCCAATCGAGCCATGAGCCCTCGTAGTTCCTCACACTGGCGGTCAACGATGTCAGCTCACCTATTCTCCACTGATCCGGGGGGTGATGGGGGGGTACTTACTTCCACCAGCCGTTCTTTTGGGCGAATTCGAGCGCTTGTTGGGACCTCTTACCCGATCTGCAGTAGAAGACCACCTTGTCGTCGTAGGCGGGGCGTTGGAAGGCAAAGTCGCGCAAAAAGTCGCCACCGCTACCCGAGAAAGCCTTTTGGAATTGCGATAGCGGTACGTTGACGGCCGAGGGGATGATGCCCTGTGCGACTTCGTTGGGCTCGCGCACGTCGATGATCGTAATCTCACCCGACGGCGATTCCGTCTCGGGCTTGAGTTCAGAGTACTTGACGACGCCTTTGCTCTGCCAGCTGGTGTCTTTGGATCGAACCACGGGAGTGGTCGAGAGAGGGCGGATGGCGGTAAGGGCAGGTGCAATGCGTCGAGGGACAGCAGCGCGGATGGAGGGAGCAGTGGAGCGTGCAAGCATGGGCGCAAGCAGCGCCGGTCGAACGGCTCGGATGAGTGTGCGAGACGACATGATCGGCGGACAAGGATGGTGTGGTGGTGCAGAAGAGACGGTGGAGGTCGAGCCGAGTGCGGTTTCAAAGTGGCTGGTGCGCCTCGCTTGCCTCCCACGTTTTTTCCTGGATTTCCCGATCCGAGCGCTGGCGTCATTGCACTCGCTCTGCACACCACCCTCCTCCCCTCCCCAGCCCATGGTTGGCCATCATCTCAAATCAAACTACCCAGCATCGTCTCGCTCGCAATCACAACATCCTTCTCTACCCTGCTCGAACATCTGATGATTTGTGCATTGATTGGAGCTGGAATCTCATCGTTACAGGCTGCTGCATCGACGCCAGCGGTGGACCATGGCGCCTAGGCATCGCGCAGACGCTTCTCGGTCTGGGATCGCTTCGACTCGAGCGCGGCGAGCTTGTCGTCCTTGGAGGCGTCGTATGCAACCGTGAGCTGGTTGAACGGATTGTCCGGATGCTTCTGGAACTGCTTGTACAGCAGATCGTGGTACTGCTGCAACCTGAGGCCCTTGTGCTCCTCCTTGATGATGGGCAATTCGCGCTCCTTGTACGCCTCGAAGGCGGCCTTGAATCGACGCTCGGGGTGGCGTTCGATCTGACCCGCAGCTGCGCCCTTGCTCGCCTTGTCGCCGCGCTCGTTGACGAGCGACATGGCATCCAGCGCATCGTCCAGGTTCGACGCCGAAAACGACGCGATGGCAGAGTCGATGCCCGTGGGTCCTCCGGACTTGAGCGCAGACTTCTTGATCCCTCCCTTGCCTTTGGCTGCAGAAGGCTTGGCTGCGGGAGTCGATGCGTCGTCTTCGGCCTCGAGTCGCTTCTTCTCTTCAGCCTTGCGCGCGGCTTCCGCCGCCTTGTCCGCTTTCTTCTCGGCGGCAGTCTTGCCTCGTCCGCCCGAGGGGTCGTCCCAGCGTGCGGCTTCGTCCGCTTCAGCGCGAGCAGCCGCTTCCGCAGCCTTCTTGTCCTCGTTGGCCGCCTTCTTCGCCCGGCCCGACTCCTTCTTCGCGTTGCCTCCTAGGGATGCCGAGTTGCAACACCACGTCAGCAACATTGATCATGGGAACATGACGGTCAAGCCGAGGGTGATGCTTACCTTTGGCTGGCATCTTGTGGTTGTCAAGCTGACCAGATGCGTTGCACGATAGATGGTGGCAGAATCGCAAGCGCAAATCCCGATCACACCCACTTTTGGGCAGCTCTCAACCTCCACTTTTGGTGCGCAGCAGCTGGCGCATGACTCGCGCCCCAAATTCCGCGCTTCCACGGCCGTTCTTCTGCACCCTGAACGCCGATCTCGACACCAACACACACGCTCCCAGTCTCACAGGCAACTCTGACTTGAACCGCAACGAAGGACGTTTCATTCCTCTTCTTCGAATTCTTCTTCTTCGAAGCCGCCGTTGCCGCTGAGCGTGCCACGCCCGCCGAAGCTGGCGTTGAACTTGAGCAGCGTATTGATGTCGCGCACCCAGTCGTCCTCGCCGCGGTCCGAGTACTTTTCGCCCATCGCCACCGGTTCGGGTATACTGTCGCCCACACCGGGAGGGTGAGCGTGGTGGTCGGACCACTTGCGGCTGACGCAGGGGATGGGGAAGGGGCTCATGGACACCTGCAGGTACTCGCCCGGCTGCAGCAGCTTGGACACCCGGCCGTCCACGGTAAGCTCGGCGGGCGAGCGCGAGTCGTCCGAGATCTTTACGACAAGAGCAGGGAGGTCAGTGTCTGCTGGGTAGGCCAAAGGAGGTCAAAGAGCGAGTGCGGGAAGGGCTTACTTTGAGCTGGATGACCGAGTCGCTGGGAAGCAGCACGGTGCGGAAGCTGAGTGAACGCGGGCAGATGGGCGTGAGAACCAGACTCTGCACCGAAGGATGCACAATCGGTCCGCCGGCAGACAGAGAGTAGGCCGTCGATCCGGTCGGCGTTGCAATGATAAGACCGTCCGACTGTGTGGATGCAAAAAGGTTCATACCAAGACGTCAGCAACTGTCGCACGAGGAGGAGGGCAAGACGCAACCTACAATAGCCTGGGTGAGATGCTGGCCGTCGACAAAGGCGTCGATCTTGGTCATGTGCGGCTCTCTGCCACGATGCAGTGTGACCTCGTTCATAAGATGGACGTCGTAGCATCCGCCGCCGTCCATCTGGTCCTGGATCTGGCAGAAGGTCTGGCCGTCCTTCCTGTGGCTGGTCTGCCTGAGGCGCATGCGTAACAGCAGGCTGATGTCGCCATTCATCATGTCGGTCAGCGCCTGCTTGTACCCCTTGATATCGTAGGGCAGCAGGAATCCAAGCGTGCCCATGGAGAAGCTGAGCACGGGCGGCACAGCATCCCTGTCGAAGAGGCTCGATACATGCAGGATGGAGCCGTCGCCGCCGAGTGTGATGACAAAGTCGGTCTTGGCGGCCAGCGCAGCCTTCTCCGAAGGATGCGCAGATACGAGCTCTGGATACGTGGAAGCGAGCTGTCCGTCGTTCGAGTCGATCACCTCGGATTCGAGGATGATGTTGACGTGTGGGTAGGCGGCGCGCATGTGTCGGATGATGTGCGCCATGGCCTTGGTGGCCCGGGTATCGCGTGCCTTTTTGACGATGAGCACGTTCGAGGGCGGTTCGATCCAGGAGAAGGTATGCGTGCCTGCGTAGCTGCTTCCGACGCGCGTGGTGATCTTGGATCCGCGGCGTGGAGCGATGACTTTGGAAAGACGGCCTGCCGGGCCGATGCACACGTCGACCTTGTCGGGCAGGTCTTGCAGTGTCGGACGAGCCGTACCGCGCTGCTTGTCTGCCGTACGTGCCGAGGAGCTAGAACTGAAGCGTCTTGGCAGTAGAGGTGCTATTGATGCATGGTTGCGCCTATCTGTCGATGAGGTGGAGGGGCGATAAGCCGTGCTTGGAAGTGCTGAGCGTGAGCCTGATGGAAGACGCCAAGCTACAGCTGAGCGTGCTGCGACCGGACCAGCCGCAACGATGCGACTGATGGCCAGACGAGCCGGTATCGACGGCGGCATGGCTGCTGGTGATGTTGGTGCTGTGAGGGCAAGGTATGAGGAGCCGGTCCAGCCGAGCAAGACCGCATGAGCTCGGCTGACTCGGAGCGCGCATGCCGCCTCCACTTTTTGGAATTTTGGCGGTGTTGAGTCTTGGTATCCAACATCGGTGATTTTTCGCGTGGCTCCGAATCGATTTCGAAATTCAGCGTCTGGATAGATTGTTCCTGCAGAACCAGCCGGCAGACCTTTTCGATACAAAGCTTGTCGAGGGCCGGCCTGTGAGCAGCCTCATTCGCACACAAGTTCTCTAGCTAAGTTGAGCTCTTTGTGATGGCCGAGGTGACCGACATGAGATGCAGCGACGGAAAGGTCCGCCCGCTCCGAACTTTTTTCGGTTGAAGGGAAGGGCGCGCGGAAAATCGGTGGATTGAGCGGGCATTTTGGCATGCTGCCTCTGTGCTGCCTGGTGCCGAAAGATGGCTTCGGCCTATCGATCTAAGCGCTGCTGCTGCGAAGATCCGTCAAAAGATGGCGGCAACATCTGTGACTCGCTCGCTTTCACCGCCTGCCGCCGAAGAAAGCATCTAAAGAGTGCATGAAGCGCGTGGCGAACAATCCAAAAGACCCTGGCAGCCGGATTTGCATCCTACCACCTTTCCTTCCCGTCGTCATCCTTCCCCTCACTTCTCGCCACCTTCCACCGCTAGTGATGTCTGCCTCGTCGTCGCCGCTCGCTGCGGCGCCTCACGCCGTCTCGGAGCGTCGGCTGCTGTGGAAGATCGACCTGCTGCTCATGCCGCTCATGACCGTCGCATACGGCCTGCAGTTCTACGACAAGGCGATCCTCGCATCCGCTTCCATCTTTGGCATCCTCAAGGACCTCGAGCTCTCGATGGTGCATCCAGGCACACCGCCCAAGACGTCGCTCCAGCGCTACTCCACCGCCACCTCGGCGTTCTACTGGGGCTACCTCGTGGCGGCGCTTCCCATGGCGCTCCTCGTCCAGCGCTTCCGCCCCAACATCTTCCTCGGCTGCTCCATCCTCGTGTGGGGCTTCATCGTCATCCTCACCCCCGCCATCACCAGCTGGCGCGGCCTCATCGCTCAGCGCTTTTTCCTTGGCGCTATCGAAAGCTCCGTCAGTCCCGGCTTTGTGCACGTGACTCGCTCGTGGTACAAGCGTTCCGAGCAGCCCCTCAGGCTCGGAATCTGGTACTCGGCTACGGGCCTCTTCTCCATCTTCTCGGGTCTGGTCAACTACGGTCTGGGCAAGGCAGGAACGCGACCGGGAGCCAAGCTGCATGCGTGGAAGTACATGTTCCTGTTTGCCGGCTCGCTCACCATCGTGTTTGGTCTGCTCATGCTGCTGCTCCTGCCGTCCTCGCCGCTGGGAGATGCGCTGCTCAGCATCCCGGGATACAACCGCTTCTCGCCCGAACAAAAGAGCCTCGCAGCAGGCAGGTTGCGCTCCAACATCACCGGCGAGGCCGAGGTCGACGACGACGCCACGCTGCGCACCAGCCATGCCGACGAGAACAAACACGATGAAAAGGACGACGCTGCACCAGACACGCCCGCCGAGCAGGTGGTGCTCAACGACCGACTTGCGGTGCTGAACGTGTCGGCGTCCACCTCGGGCGTGCGTCAGCGCTGGAACGGCGCGCAGATCAAGGAGGCGCTGATGGACTACAAGATCTACATCTTCTTCCTGCAGGCGATTGCGATCTACATCTGCAACGGCGGTGTGACGGCGTTTGGCGCGTACATCATCAAGTCGTTCGGCTACACCTCGTTGCGATCCATCATCCTCCAGACGCCCGGAGGCGCCACGACGGCGGTGTCGATCTATGTGTCGACATTGGTGGTGCTCAAGGTGCGCAACTCGCGCTCGGTGTTGCTCATGCTCGCCTGTCTGCCGGTAATTGCGGGCGCAGCCATGATCTGGAAGGGCGACTGGTCGAACCGTGCCATCCCGCTTGCGGGGTACTACCTGCTGCCCATCTTTGGCGCACCCTTTGTGCTCATGCTGTCGCTTAGTACGGCGAATGTGGCGGGCGCCACCAAGCAGTCGGTCACTTCGGCATTTGTGTTTGCCGGCTACAATGTGGGCAACATCGTGGCGCCGTATCTGACCATCGCCTCCGAGGCTCCAAAGCATTACCGCACCACGTTTGTCGCCATCATCACGTGCATGGCCATCACCATTGGGCTCACCGTGCTGCTCGATGTCGGGCTGTGGTGGCAGAACAGGGCGAGGAGACAGGCGAGGGAGAGCGAGGCCAAGTCGAAACAAGAGGTGGACGAGATCAAGAAGCGCGCCATCCTCGAAGACTGGACCGACTGGCAGAACCCGTACTTCGAGTACGCCTACTAGATGCACATTTGGTTACCGTCTTTCTGAAAAGGATCGTAGAGATCTCGTCTCCTACCAAGCTGCGATGGTGGTGTGTGTTGTGAAGTGTCTTGTTGAGTGCGGGCTGAGGTTTTGCGGAACTCGGAGCAAATTCAGTGCGGCAGGTGTTGATGCAGGGTCCAGTCGGGAGAAAAGCTGATTGCTGCTGCATACAGCTTCCGCACTTGCTTCCACCATAGACTTGTCCTCATCCAGCCGTGCTCATGGTGCCGCTCACAAGCACAAGGCGTGACGGAGATGACTGATGCGCTTGTTGGGCTCGACAACCTCACCGCCGTCATTCGCACCGAGGCCGAGACGCTGGCTGCCTTTGTGGTCTCCTCAACATATGCCTCCGCAACGACTGGACTAGACTCGCGTGCCGCCAAAAACGTAGATGGGCCCGACAAGGTAGGATCCACATCGCAGAGGAAGAAAGACGACGAGGAGACAGGATTGTGGACTGTGACGGTTGGCAGCGAGCGAGGATGGTGGGGTACCACGCTCTCGCCTGCGTCCCTTCAAAAGCTTCTCGATCGACACCGTCACACACTCCAAGACCATCCTGGCGAAACACACCGCGACAAGTTAGCCTCCAAGATCAGCAACGCATTTGCACGGCAGCGCATCTTATGTGGCGTTCCACGCTCCTGGCAGAACAACACCGCATGGCCTTCGATCCGACTCTACTTTGACGCCGATACGTCGCCGATCCACCTCGACCTCGAGCAACTCTCCCCCGAAGCAGCCCTTTTCCACAGTACACGTGTTTCACTGTTCGCCAAGCCTCCCTCGCCCTCGGCTTCTGGAAGCTCGTTTGCACAGCATCAACTGCAGCGTAAACTCGAAGCGACGCAGCAAGCGTTGCGGGAAGAGCGGCACAAGTATCGCTCGCTTCTCGCTGCACCCTCGGCGGCGGGCGGACGACACGGAAAACGACCCGTGGTCGGGCTTGGATCCAGCCAGCGCTCGAGTGCGTTGCCCTCGTCATCGCCCAGCTCGGGCTCGAGAAGCTACGGCCCAAATGCGCCCAGCTCGGACGATACAAGCACAGTCTCGAGCCAGCCAAACAGGAGAGGGTGGCAGAGAACGCTATCGCTCGTCAACCCCACGCGCGTCCAGAGAGCCTACCCGAGCGAAAACGATGACTTTGTAGGCGATGACGACGACGGCGGCGAGCTCGACATGTAGCGAGCATACACGCCCTCTAAAGCACGCAGATGCGCGATCAATAACACACCGTGAAACTTTCTTTTGGTGTCGAACGACGCGCGGATGAAAGCCGGTTGCGTGCTGAGCAAAGCTGTGAGAGGCTATTGTTGTTGTTGTTCTGCGAGTCGATGCCCGAGAGAGTGCACCTCATCTGCATCTGGTGTCAAAGACGTCGCCCGAGAGTCAGCGTCTCTGAGATCAGCTTTTTGACACCTCAATTTTCGGCCCGCATTTTCATTTCCATTTTCATTTTGCTCGGGCGGAGTTCAGCTTCTCCCCCTGCAGTCGCAATTTTTCTCGGCCTCGCCTCCACACCCGCACCTTCGTTAAGACTATCTCTGCGACCGCTCGTAGCTTGCCTTTCTTCCACATCGATTCGCGGGGCCTGTTCCGCGCGCACCTCCTTCTTCGCAACGGCTAGCGGGCTCTAACGGCCATGTCAGCGCCACCAGGACGCTCGGCTACGGTGACTGCACTCAGTGGGCGCGTGCATGCGCTCAAGTTCATGCAACGCGGCTCGCCCTCGACCCCCTCCAAAACCACCTCAGAAACGCCTGCCACGCCATCGACGCCGGCCTCACCGTCTCCAGCTGCATCTCCCGCCCCGTCCGTACCTGGGTCCCCTGCCGCAGCGTTCGGGCAAGACGAACAGTGGTCTTTGTCGCCAGCTGCCATTGCGCGAATCCGGGCCAACGCCAAGACGCCCACAGCCAAAGCGGGACCAGTCATCTCGCACGAGGCCGGCTTCGAGTCGTGGCTGATCAAGCGCACTGGCGCAGAACAGCCTGCTGCAAACCAACGACTCACGTTCGGCAAGATCGGCAAGACAAACACCGCCGGTACCGAGCCGGAAGTTGAGGCCGACGAGTCACGCGCAGCATCGGACGAAGACGAGCAGAAAGGAGAGCGATTCCTCAAGCCGGGGAGCAGCAAGCGCAGTGCACAGGCGGAGGGTAAAGCGGCAAAGAAGCAACGCAGGAGAGGCGAGGACAAGGTGGTGATTGCACGCAAGCGCGGAGGCAAGCCGGGCATCTCGGGTGGGCGATGAGCTTCGAAAAGGTGCTGTGGCGCACACAGCCGTATGCGGACAACTACGTGCCCGCGAGTTTTCTCTCGGAGCTGCGCACGAATTCGGACATCGCCCGGCCGTCGGTGTGGGTGCTGGTGCTGGCATCGCTGCGCGTAAGTACGGCGTTGCTGCGCGTGGCGGTATTTGCGATCGTCTACACGCATCTACTCTCCCGTCGCGTCGACGCAGAGCTCGTTCTTGGCGCGATTGTCGTATGCGCGGCGGTGGGAGCGGTGGTTAGGCGCGGGAGGGAACCGGTACTAGCCAGCGTGTTGGGCAAGATGGTGGTGGCACTGGTACTGCTTGCTGTCTCACCGGTTCTGCGGACGCTGACAGAGGCGACGACGAGCGATACCATCTGGGCACTTGCGGCGATGCTGTTCACAGCCCACCTGGTGCTGGCCGACTACGCGGGTGGAAGCGGCAAGCTGCAGGATACGCTCTCGTTCAATGCGGCCATTTCGGCGTCGGTGGTGCTCGCTTCGCGACTCGACGACGACGTGCAGTCGTTCAGCGTGCTCGCGCTCGCCATCACACTGTTCGCGCCGCAACAACACACGCCACGCGACGCCACACGCGTGGTGCACTTTGTAGCGTTCTACTGCGCCGTCGTTGTGGGTGGGTGGGGCACGGTGGTGGTGTGGGTGACGTTGGCGGTGGGCTTTGTATCGCTGGTGTGTCCGGTGTGGATGCGGTATGCGCAGGCGTGGAAGATGGAGATCAAGGGTCCGTGGGATCCCGCACGTCCGGTGTTGAATGCTACCAGTCCAGCTTGTTTCCCTCCGCATCGCGCAAGTCCCCCTCGAGGCTCGCCCACCATTCGCCCTCGCTAAATTCATCCACGTCTTGATCTTGTTGTTCTTGCTGATCGTGGTGTGCCGCGTGTGTTTCGGGTGCGGGGGTGGATTTGGACAGTCGCCATTCGCACGCGTTCTGCCATTCGCACGACCAGCATCGCCGTGTGTGCTGTACATCCACACCCACCAGTGCACGTTGACCCTTCCACATGCTCACCGCATCGGCCAGGAATGCATCCACCCCCGTCGGGTCGTGAGCGAACTTGACCACGCCGATGATGCCGTCCTTGTGCTCCTCTGCCGATGCACGTCGTTTGCGCCGGGAGCGATAGCACAATTCGAGCTGCTGGATGAGTGGACACTTTTGCTGGGATGCGCCGCGCTGTGCATCGTGGATCCACTCACGCAGGGCCGAGTCGAGCAAGAGCCGGATGTGGTGGAGCGTACACATGTCCGCATCGTGCTGCGCCACGAACAGCGCCAGATCCGTGCCCCAGCTCTCGCACACCGGTGCGGCATCGCGCACAAACGACGCCGACAGCGGCCGGTCTGCATCCAAGCCGAGATGGCGGAATGTACGTGGCCAGTCCATCGGCGTCGCATTTGGATCGAGACCGTACTCGGAAGATGCAGAGGGCAGAGCACCAAGGCATAGACCGTCAAGTAGACGCTTGTACGTCATGCACTGCATGCGCGCACTGTGCTGGTCGTCCTCCGCTGGCACCCATGCCGAGTATCGCGTCTTGGTGTCCGTCAGAAAGTAGCCCCACCCTTCTCTCCCCGCATCTTTTGTTGGCTCTGCGTCCTGCGATGGCTCCACATCCTCCGTGGGCTGCGATGCGGGCGTGGCCGTGCTGAAGAACGCGCTGAGTGTGCGTGCGGGCTTGGCATCGCTCTTCTTGGCTTTGCGCCGCGCATCCTTCTTCCACTCTTCCTGGCTCGCCCAAACCTTCTGCTTGTCATCCGTGGCTGCGAGTGGGCTTTTGGAGAGCTCGTCGACGACGCCCGTGACAAACACGTCGTGGATCCAGCCGTATACGGGGATCTCGCGCACGCACGCCTCCTTCCCTTTGGTGCTCCCTTTCGCTGGCGGCTTGGGTTGGAGCCGTACGAGGCTGCGGATATCGCACCACAAATTAAACAGCCTCAGAGCCCATGCATCCTCCTTGGTGTGTGTTTCGACGTGCACCTGCGCGGGTGCGACTTGGGCTTCGAGCACCGAGTGCACCGCCTTGCCCGCGTTGAGCGTGACTTCCTTGGCGGCCACGCGGTCGGCTGCTGCTGCGAGCGTCTGTCCTGCTTCCGTCGTGATCGTCTCGGGCCGCAGCGCGGGAGGGAGGTGCGAGAGCGACAGGATGTTGTACTGGTATGCGTACTCGCACCACGACGGCCCGACAAGGTCCGAGACCGACAGATAGCCTTTGCGCGAAAAGTGGTCCGGCAGCGAGGTGGGTGGTGGCCGGCGTGCGCGCCGCGTGCGCGGGCCAGAAGGGCCTGCCTCGGCCATGCGTGGAACGGACGTCGATTGGCTCAAGGATCGAATGTGGCTGACAAGTAGGGCGCGCGGGAGGCGCATGGCGCCGGTGCGGGATGGTGGAGGTGATGAAAGGCTCAGTCGCATGTCGGCGAAATGAGCGCCGTGTAAGTCGGCCAATTTTTCGCTCCTCAAAGCCGCACGACATCGTCCTTCTCACCCACCACCTTTCGCTCGGCGTTGGCATACAGCATGGCATCGCACGCTGCATATGATGCAAGTACGGGGGTGCGCACGCTGCTGGCGTCGCTGCTGCTGAGCGATCCGATCCACATCGACGCGTCGGTGCTCAGCGACGATGTGCACATGCGACAGCGCATGCTGGGTCTTGCGCGCACCGCGCCCTTTGCACCGGACCTCGAAGATACACATACGGACTGGAGCGATTCGTCATCCGACTTGCGACGAGCGTTCGTCCGGTGGCTCTGTCGCGACCCAATCGAAGTGCATCGCTCCCCGCTCAATGTCGATACTGCAGCGCGCAGCTTCTTTGTGCAGCGACGCAAAACGCTCGACATCGCTGCCGAGGGCGATCACGATCCGATCGACATGGAGCGCTTGACACTGCAGTGCAAAGACGAGTGGCACGGCACGGGCCGCTTGCTCGTCCAATTCCCGGACGACCCCGATCTTGCAATGCTCTACATGAGCGTCGTGCGGGACGGCACGGACGTCAAGCTCGACAACCTGTTTGCATTCGACGATCCGCTCACAGGCCTGCATCGTCACACCCCGGCGTGCTGGGAAAGCTGCAATGTGCATGATGAAGACGCACCGGCTGCGGCGGAATACATCAATGACGCCGACGAGTTCTGGTCCGGATTCGACGATCCCGCACCCGACACTGCCCCAGCCCAGCCAACTGCAGTGGCAACCGACCCTGCACACACGCCGATGGATGGTGACGAAGATGCAGCGATTCGCGACATTGTTCGCGGCGCATACACGCTCTTCCGCTCACGGCAGCCTCACAACTCGACCGAATCCTTCCTCGAGCTTGTGCACAGCGCCATTGCACCTCAATAAGACGTGCATGATCCATTTCCAAGCGTGCTACGTGACGGATGACCTTTACTTCAAAAGGGGGAGAAAAAGAAGGGAGAAAGGAGGTTTTACCAGAAGGTGGGACCCTGTTGCTTTCGCATGCTGAATGCGGTGGGGTCGGCCTTATAGTACTGCTTGAGCAGCTGGGGGAACCATCCGTACGACTGGAACGTCTTCTGCGTCGCATCCACCTCGTTGAGGAACAGAGGCAGACCTGGGCTGCTGGGATTCTGCTGCAAGAATGCCATTCGATCGTTCTCGAGCGCCTGGGGGAAAGCGGTGGTGCCGGGAGCGAGGATGTTGCTAAAGAGCCAGTGGACGTAGCTCTTTCCCCTCGGGGGCGCAATCGCGTTTCCGCCGTTCTGGTATCCCTGTTCGATCTGATTCGTCTTGACGGGGGTGAGCGAGAAGAAGGCCGACTCAAGCACGGCCTCGTTCCTGTGCAGGAAGGCTTTAACGTTGTCCCATGTAGCCTGCCATCCATTGGGGGATGAGTTGGGGTAGAGCGATCCGCCGAGCCACTTGTACGCCTGGGTGGGTGCCCAGCCCAGCGGCGTAACGGCGGTAGCCTCGAGGTAGCTCATGGGCTGAGTTTGAGCAATAATACCGGGGATGGAGAGGAAGTCCTTGAATGCGGCGTTGAAGTCGTCCTGCGTGCCCTTGTAGAAGAGGAAGCCCGAACCGAGGTAGAGCGGAGCGCCGTTTTGCTTGAGCATGCCGACGTTGGTGAGCAGAGTGGCCTTGGGATCGTCGGTGGCTGCGACGAACTTTTCGGTGTACTGCACCATAAGATCCATGCCCTCGGGGGTGAGTGCGGTGATGGAACCGCCGTACCAGTTCTTGTCGTCATTCGTGCCCGTCGGGTAGGCCTTGAGCTCGTACCTCGTTACGATGCCGAACCTTCCACCACCGCCCTTGATTGCACGGAAGAGTTGCGGGTCCGTCTCGGCTGTCACACGGCGGGTGCTTCCATCGACCATAACGATCTCTGCCGACACCAACCCATCGCACGCATAGCCATACTGGGGCGAGAGCAAACTCAGCCCTCCACCCAGCACAAGCCCCGTGCCCACATGCTGGACTCGGCCACCCATGGGTGCCACACCGTACTCGGCCGCACGCTTGTAGATATCGCCCCACCGCAGCCCGGGCTCAACAAAGATCGTTCCGGGCTTCACGTTGAACGAAAAGTCGGTGAGTTTGGACATGTCGATGAGCACGCCGTTCTGGACGCTGTCCCATCCAGCCATACCAGTATGCCCGCCCGAGCGCACGGCATAGTTGGCCTGGTGACGGTAGATCGACTTCATGACGGTGGCTACCTGCGCCTGCGACGTCGGCTGCACAATGCATGCCGGGGCGAGCTTGTTGTTGAGCGGGTTGAATCCCGCGGTTTGAGCCGCCGTGTAGGGTTGACCGTCGGAAGAGGTGAGTACTGCATCGTTGCCAGAGGTGGCGGGGAAGGCCTTGGCCAAATCGGCACACACGGCTGCCCCCGGTGCAGGAGGTGCAGCCGTAACGAGCGTCGAGACCGTAGCCGCCATCAAGGTGAACAGTGAGGCAGCGCGCATATTCACCACCGAACCAAAGACTGTAAGGAAAGAAGGAGGGATGTGGGAGGCAGGTGTATGCCAGTCAAGCGGAGGGCATTGTTATATACGACTTTTCAGCCGCAGCGCTGCGCAGGCTTTCTTGACTTGCCAAGACGAGGTTTGAGCGTGAGCATAGGCTTCCGACGGTTGTGCATCTGCAGCAACGAGCCGGTGCGGTGTTCGGTTGTCAAGCCGCCGCCATCGGGTGCCATCGAGCGCCATCCAGCCCGGACCAAGGATTGGGTGGCCAAAAGCGCAAAATCTCACGCCACCCCGAGCTTGTTTTTTGTGCAGGCGCGGGTAGGGTTGGTGGCAGCAGCTGCATGGAAGCGCCGTCTTGTGCGTTGCCGCGCGTCTCCCTCGGTGTGGAAAAGGAATCTCCGCTGCGGCGAATGGGAAAATCCTGCAGGAAAGCGGCTCGCTTAGCTTGGATTCGCCTGGCGAGCGGGACCTGCGCATCCCCTTTCTCGCCCCCTCTTTCCCGCTTTCCGGCTTTCTGGCTTCGATTGTTCCGTAGGATTTTCCGCTCCGTCTGGCAATGCACGCTTTGGGCTTCCCGCTCCACCCCCCCGCGCGATACGCTCCGACAACCTCGCCTAGCTCAAACACACCCTTACCACTTGCTCGCTCCTTGCTCGCTCCCACTTCCGCGCGCGCGCGCGCATCAGCACCACATCCCGCCGCACGTGGCCCCAGATCTCATCTCGCTTCCACAGTCCATTTGCCGTTCGTAGAAAAGTAGGTTCGTAAAATGCCATTCGTGCACTGGGGTTGGCTGTGAGACGGATGCTACGGGCGTCGTCGCGACGTGGCTCCGGGCGTGCTGGCACCTTCGCGGTCGCGCCTCACCAGGCTGCTTTCCGGCATGCCCTCGGGCCTGTGCACCGCCTCGATCGCCTGCTTGGCCTCCTTCCAGTTGTCCAGATTCGCCTGCGCAAACTCGCGGTGCATGCGTGCAAACTCGAGCATCATGTCGCGCAGGTCGCTCACCTTTTGACGCTGGAACCGGTCCAGATCCGTCTGGATCGCCGTCGTGGCATAGTGCAGATCGTTCGACGTGAGCGCCACGCCTTCCTCGAGCAGCGCAATCTCCTCGCGCAGCTTCGAGATGTTGTTGCGGCGCGACGCATCCCGGTCCACGTCCATGACGCTCTGGAACGTGTGTGTGATGGCGCCCAACAGGCCGTAGCCCGTCGAGCGCGACGACGATCGCTTCGACGGCGACGCAGGCGGCGACGCTGCTCGCGACCGCACGCTCGCCGTTCCGTTGGCTCCTCCGCTCTCCCCCGCCGGGCCCGTTGCATCATCGCCGCTGCTCTTGCCCTGGCCCTGGCCCGCGCTCTCCGCTTCGCCCTCGCCACTCGCTCGTCCGTACACCGAAGCAGATGCGCGGAAGCCAGAGCCAACACCGTCGCGGATGCCGTTCGCATCGATCCCACCGCCCGTCACACGTCCTCCGCTGCCGATCAGCCCGGCTCCACCGCGCTCCAGCGCCTCCTCCAGCCGCCTCGCCTCGTTCTCCACACGCTCCAGCTCCTCCAGCTGCGTCTTCTTCGCCTCGAGCGCGTCCTGCGCCAGCTCGTACTGCAGATGCTTCAGATGGCGCCACTTGAGCAGCTTCTGCAGGATGCTCGCAAACTGCGCATACTCGTGCAGCGGCTCCGTAAACTTCTCCTCCCATTCCTTGAGCATGTGGCCCGTGGCGATGTACGCCGCGTCCGCCGCCTGGCCCGTGCGCTCGATCGCCGTGGCCAGCTCGCCCGACTCGGTGAGCGAGAAGCCGTTGAGGATGGCGCCCAGCTCGGCATAGTCCGTCGACGCCTCGGTCCATCGCCGCATGAGACGCCGATTCACCTTCTCCATGCTGCCGGACAGATGGTTGGCGAATCGGTTCGTGAACGCCTCCGAGTCGATGAAGCGCTGGTTCGGCTGCCGCAGCGACGTCACCGACGACGGCAGCGGCAGATGCGCGTACGCAGGACTCGCGTGCGGATCCGCCGGATTCTGCACGGGCGCGCGCAGGTTGTTCTTGGGCAGATGCACGAGCGGAGGCGAGGCCGTGATGTCGTTCCAGTGGTACCGCCCGTCGAGGAACTTTTGCAGCACCTCGTCGCCCCGCAGCTTCGGATGGTTGTCGCACCGCCGCAGGAAGCTCTGCAGCATGCGCTTGCGCCGCGCAATGATCGTCGCATCCTCCTTGGCTTTGCTCTGCTTGGCTGCGTAGTCCGACAGCGAGTGCTTCGACGGGATCGGCGCGATGATGATGGTCGGATGCAGTCGGATGAGCGCCTCGCGCAGCGCCTCGAATTCAGAGTACCGACGCTTCGCCTCCGTGCTTCCATTGCGGATGACGTAGACGATGAACGACGAGCCGCCATCGCCCGACTTTTGCGCATCCACAATCTCGATCACAGAAGGTGGTGACGCAAACGTCGCTCGGCTAATCGAAGAGGGCGACGAGGTGGCGGCAGCGGCGGCGGTAGTGCCAGTGTTACCCGTGCCTTGGTCGGCCGTGTTGATTTGAGCGCGCGAAGATGAGCCCGTCCAGCCGTCGTCGTCGTCATCCTCCTGCACGCGGTTCGATGTCGAAGCACCGGCATCGGGTGCATCATGCGTGAGCGATGAGTGCGACGACGTGGCTGAGCTTTCGGCGGCTGGCGACGGCTTGCGCGTGGTGTTCTCGTCGTCTGGAATCTGGAACGGATTCAAGTCCTCGTGAGGTTGTGAGCTCATCGTGCTGACCAAGATGCGCCGGCGCGGTTGAGGTTGGAACAGGACACTGGATGGATGTCGAGACTCTACGGTCGCTCCACAGGTAGTATACGCGTATTGACCGGCTTTGATATCAGAAGAAACGACGAGGCGATGCGCTGAGTCGAGCGTCGTTGGATGATAGGGATGGTGGAGAGCGGAGGCTGCGCACTGCATCGGGCGACGACTCCAACTTGCTTTGGCCGGCACTGCCCAGCAGGGCGCAGCATCGATTTCCAAAATTGGGGCCTGTGCACGCACACTCAACTGCCCTGCCAGTCCAGCCAAAATCGACCTCGAAATCCCAACTGCAGAGCGCGTTTCGAGGGGAAAACTCCACATGGCTGCTGCGCCCCTCTCTTCTCTCTCTCCGCCGCCGCCACGGTTCCTGGCTACAGTGCGAGAAGGCTGCGCTTGTCGTGCGAAAAGACGCCCACTCGAACTGAGACCCTGACGGCCAACCCTTCCAGCTCAGCGCGGCGCTCATGCATGCAACTGGCCTCCGTGACGTTGGACAGTGCGCTCAGTCCCCACTGTGACTCTGCGGGGAGTTGATCTCTGCTTGCCACCTCGCTACCACACCACATCCGACATCCAGGACACATTGCGCCTGTGGAGCAAGCTAGTGTCAAATGCCACTATGACGCCTGCACCCACCCGCTCCAAGTCAATACTACTTCTACTCGGTCTGCTGTATCTGCAGGCTTGCACCGTCGACGCCACCATCTCCACTTCGGCTGGCTTCCCCCGCGATGTCTTCGCCCAACCGGCCTTCCAAGTTCAGCTAGGCAGCGTCAACACAAAGGATGCGCCATTGCCGGTCAAGCGGAGCCACGCTTCGGCAATCCTCGAACAGCACCAACACCAGGCGTCGTCCTCTTCATCCGAGTCTACTTCCTCCCTCGCTGTAGCAGGTCAAGCCGGCGAAAACTTCCACGATCCATCTCGCAACGCGCCGCATGTCCTCCAATGGTCGCTACAACGCTCTTCACCAACCGATCTTCACCTCTGCTCCATACCGGACTTTACATCGTCGTCTGCAAAGGAGCAGCGTACGGCCGATGCAGGCCCATCTCGCTCGCGCCAGGACCTGCTCCGCAATGCCCAAAACCTTCTGGAGCCGCTCAAAAAGGTGTGTCTCTACCACACCTTTGACTGGTTTACCTACAGCTTCTGCTATGGACGCGAGGTGCGCCAGTTCCGACGCCTCGGCGCACAGACCGCAGCCCAAAAGGCGTTCAAGGCAGCCGGCGGAGGCACCAATGGCGAAAAGGCAGCGCAGGAAGCCGCCAAAAAGGTCAGCAGCCTACAGCATCCCATCGCCGATCCCGAGTATCCCGCCTTCATCCTCGGCCGCTGGACGCCTCAGAACGAAGACATCGTAGGCGACGACCAGAGCCACCAGCGACATTCGCAGCAGCCCCTCAGCGATCTGTCCAAGCCTGCTCCTGCAGCATCCAACGCCGTGTCGTCGGACCGTCGATGGCAATCGTACGCCAGTGCGGCGGGTCTCGACCTGGTCGAAGAGGTGCAGTTTGGCGACTGGGACGAGGACGAGCTGTACGCCGCCGAGGCCAAGGCGCTGGCTCAGCTCGCAGGTTCGCAGAGCCATGCGGTCGAATCCAGCGGACACGCCTCCTCTGCCGGCGCGCATGACTCGCAGCGCCACCGCTTCCTCACCCAGCGCTGGACCAACGGCACCATGTGCGACATGAACCACCAACCCAGGAGCATAGAGGTGCAGTTCCACTGCTCCAACCGCAAGCCCCTCGAGGACCGCATCGTCATGTTCAAGGAGACCACCATCTGCAACTACGTCCTCGTCATCGAAACGCCACGCCTGTGCGCCGATCCCGCCTTTGGCTCCGAAAAGCAAGAGGCGCCGCTGCCTGTGCAATGCCACAAGATCGTCGAAGACACCTACCAAGGACCCACGCTGGGCGAGCCGGACAAGGTGCTCCAGCCGCCCCTGTCGCAGCTTCAGGCCGCAAAGGATGCCAAGCAGCAAGCGCAAGCTGCACAAGACTCGCATGCGACGTCTGTCAAGGACGCGGACGCTGCACAGGAGACCGCCAGCACCCACACGTACGGCGACATTTCGCGCTTCAGCTCGGTCTACGACGACTACTACGACGAGGCGCTCGGCGGGCATGGTGCGCTTTTCCACCAGTACCACGACCACGAACATGATCACGATCACGAGCACGAGCACGGCCATGGCCACGAGCACGACGACGAGTTGCTGTCGTTTGGCGACCCGGAGTCGGACGAGATCATGGTCGAGGTCGGCATCGACGAGGACGGCAAGCTGGTAGTCAACGAGATTGACGACGTCGCTAGCGCCGATCCCTCTCCACCACGCGAAGGCAAGGAATCGCGGCGGCGCGAGGGCGGCAAGAAACGCAGCGACGACGATGGTGCGCTCGAGATCGAGCTCGACATGGACGACTTTCTCTCGGTGCTGCGCGGCGACCAAGGCGGCAGTCTGGAACGCAAACTCGCCGAAAAGATCTCGCAGGTGCTCAATCGCGAGCAGCAGAAGCAGTCGAGTGGCGACGCAGGCGATGCAGGCGAGCCGAGGGACGATGCGAAGAAGCAGACGCCGGAAGAGGTGGCCAAGCTGTACAACCGGCTCATGGCGGCTGTGACGGGTGGTGGGCATGCAGGCAAAGATGCGGCCGACAAGCCGGCCAAGGGGGCCAAGCACAAGCAGCCTCCGACTTTACGCATGGAAAAGGTGGGCGACAGCTTATCCGAGCGCGCCAAACGCTTCTACGACGCCAAAGCGCGCGAGAGCGAGGGCGAGGGCGACAAGCGCGACACAAAGACCATCGCTCCCAACATCGCAGAGCATCTTGAGCTGTAGCCTTAGTCGTGCCGCCATCCACCATGTTGTGTGTCTGCTCCGCATGTGTGTCGGCTGATCCGATGCTGATTGGTCGAATGGTGGGGATGCTTTGCATGCTGTGTGGGCAACTATATACAATTTCGGCTTGAATCTCTCTAGACGTACTTGCCAAAGAAGGGGATGAGGCTCTGGGCGATGGTGAAGGAGAAGACGAGCTTGGGGCCTACGACGAGCACCTTGGGGGTGAGGCCCTTGAAGAAGGCGCTGAAGCCCTCGTTTTTGACCATGTCCTTGATGATCTGTACGCCGCCGACCTTGGATTCGAAGTTGGCGTTTTGGATGCGCGTCTTGACGACGTCGAGGGGGGCAGCGACGGTGATGGATGCGACGGAACCGCCGATGGAGGCGAAGAAGTTCTGCGTCCATGTAGCGTCGTTGTAGTTCTTGAGGCCAAAGATGTATTCCTTTGTGAAGGCGGATCCACCGAAAAGAGCAAAGGATCCAGGAGCGTTTCGAGCAGCGGTCCAGCCCCAACCACGGTAGAGGTTGACGTTCTCGTCGGCAAGGATGCGCAGGAATCCACGCGAGCGGAATGCCTCCGGGTTGGTCTGACGCTTGATCTTGAGCACATCCAACGGCAGCAAGACGATCTCGCCGATGCCCGTGAGCGAACCAGCAGTGGCAGACATAACCGCCTTACCCGTACGTTCGCCAAACACGTTTTCGAACTGCTTCTTGTGATGCGTCGTGAGGTAGTCGTTAAAGTACGGCTGACCACCGAACTTGTAGATGCGCTGAAGCACCTTGTAACCCGCAGCATAACCGAGACCGGGGAAGAGCGAGAGGAACTTGGTCGAGACGTTGGCGGTCGCCTTGTCCTTGAACACCACCTGCGCCATCGACAGGCCGGACGTCTTGTTCGACATGAGTCGCTTGGCCACCGTGTCGACCGGGTGGAAGACGAGCAGCTCAGCGATGCCCGACAGACCCGAACCGAGCAGACGCGCCTGCGCCGACTCGCGCTTGCCGCCAGAAGGAGGTGGCGACATGGTATACGTGCAGAAAAGGAGCAGGGGAGGTGGAAGGGTGCGAGGATAGAGGTGGTTGGCAAGAAACAAGATTCGCAGGGACAGCGTATGCAGCTCACCACAACTTCTCGGAAGGCGGGGACCGTGCTTGCTAGACGAGTCAGAATCCCCAACCCGACCGATTCCATCGTCCACAGCGAAGGCGTCCAGCCTGCACCGGCTGCTGCCTCCCTCTCCCTCTTCTTTTTGCTTTCCCACTTTTTTTTATCGCCCCGACATGAGAAGAACAGCCGAAGAAAAAAAAAGAAGCGCGAGCCGCGGAAACACGGTGGGATGCCCCGCCACGAAGCCAACTTGACTTAGCCGGTTGTCGATTTGTCTGATATCGAGATTAATTTCCAACCCAAAAAAAAAAAAAGAGCGCGCCCTGCTACTGCCGATAATGCGCGTCGATTGAGCCGGGCGATCCCGCGTGCGCAGCCAACCATTTCTTTTTGGCTCGTGATTGCACGGGCGGACGCTCATCCATCGTACCGGCTACTCGCTTTCGGCGGGTCGACACACCAGGGGCAAACAGTATGGCTGCAGCATCGTGAGCCGGTGCCTGTCTGGACCGAACGCTTTGAACGGGCCATCCCCACGGTGAAATCAGGCCAGAGTAGCCTGGAACGGAAGCGCCCGGACCGATGTTGTTAGAGCGCTGTTGGGACGTCCTTGAGTGACGCCGATGGATCGGGAGTGTGGGCTGCGGCACGTGATGCAGCTCGCCAGCGGATTTTTTCCTTCCGCAGCTGCGGCCGCATCTAGATTCTTCGCAAAGCTCGGCCTGGTCCAGTCTCTCCATTCGCCCCCTCTGCTTCTCTCCTTCACACCACCCGCACCGTCGTCGTCCATTCCGGACCCTTGTATTGCTCCGTGTTGCTGCAGTCGCAAGGCCCCAGGATCGACAAGGGTGCGGTGCAAAACCTGGACAGTAAGTCTTCCGATAGTCTTCGGCCCCTCCGCTTCGTCTCTCCTCGATCTCTGGCGCCTTCTTCGCCCTTTCGATCCCCGACGCGATCGCTGTCGAGCCCTTGCAACGACACGCAACAAAGGGACAGCTCCAAATGATGATCATATCCCATTTTGCTCAGAGCCTTGTCACTCGGATCTACCAATCCACCGACTTGGCGAGGAGTTCGAGTTTACTTTTAGTCATAGTTACACTGATTCCGCCCCCTTCCTCGGCACCCGAGCGTGCGCGCCATGGATCAAGAGAGGATCGAAGAGAGAGAGGCCTAGCCGGTCACATTGCGATTATGACACGGACTGACCCAGTATTCCTGCTCTTCCTGCGTCCACGCTTCCTCTAATGATCAGGTTCCTTGCTTGGGCATCATGCAATTCATCGGTCACACTGTCAATCCTCTCACACGAACGAGATCGCACGTGCAGCTCCTTTGACGATCTTTACTGAGAATTGACCTGAACTGAAACAACACAGCGCGATACAAATGAAAAATGCAGCATGAGAAATGGAAACGGATCACGGCCTGGAGGGTCTTTAAACCTTCATAAAGCGGAAGAGGCTCGCGAGCTTGACGAACCGCCTTCCGTTTTTGGCGAGGTACTTGTCGATGGTCTTGTGGAGCATGTCGAGTTCGCGCTTGTTGATGTCGAGTGTGGCGAGCACCTCGTCGTGCCACGCCTTGATGTTGGGTGTCTGCGACGTTCCCTTGCCCACCACCCTTTCGCGGATGCGCGCGGCATCGACGAGCGACTCGAAATAAATGAGCTGATCGTACAGCTGCTTGTCGCGGTAGCACGGCTCCACGCGGCCTCGGCAAGCCAGCTGGCCGCCGACAGTCGAGGTGGCATCGAGGAGCGCGGCGGACTTGGAGTCGTGCACGGCGATGCAGCGCTTGGCGTACACGCTCGCCATGCGCGTGCGGCTGTGGCAGTTGGCATCGCTACACTCGGTCCATCCGGCATAGTAGCGCTCGACATACTTGCGGATGGCCAGCTCCAGCTGGATCGACACCGTCGCCAGCGGCAGCATTCGCTGGCACGCCGCATTGGTGCATCGAATGCCCTTGGTCGAAATCGCATTGCGCTCCTCCGGCTTGGCGTTGGTCGAGTCGCGTAGCACACTGCTCGCCGTCGACGACGACGCGCGGTGCGCCGGACCCAGGAAGCGACTCGTTTCGCGACACGATGGACACGTCAGCTCGAGCGGCTCGCAGCGCGCAAACCTCACCTCATCAGGGATCTGCGAGTCGAGCGTGGCGAACTCGCGATCGCCCATGCCTGCGCCACCTGCCGACGCCGAGACATGCGAGTACTTGGTGGGATCCAGCCCGAGACACTCCGCCAGCCTCGAGCGGTCGGTACCCTCGATGCTCTCGCACAGCCTCTCGATGGGTGGCAGGATCTGCAGCGCCAGGTAGTGCTCGTAGTCCACCTTGAGCTCGCTCTCCTTGCGTCGGAGCTCGTCCGGATGGTGCGCCCGATCCGCCTGTGCGCTCTTGGTGCTCGACGCCCCGTCGTCGCCCAGGCAAAAGATGTAGGGGATCACGTCGCCCATCCTGGCGCTGCCGCCGCGCGCCTTGACGCGCAGAGCCACCTGGACGTGCGGCTGCGACTTGACGTCCGGATAGTCCTCCGGATTCTTTCCGAGCCGCTTGTAGATGATGAAATCCTCCAGCGCCACCTCGCCGCGCTTGATCCTGTCCGCCATGTCGCCGAGGTACTCGTGGATGTGCTCCACCACCACCTCGGTCGGCTGTCCGGACAGGATCTGCTCCAGCACGTAGTTCGAGACGTTCTTGCTAAGCGCCGAGTACTCGCGACGCTTCATGTCGAGACCCTTGATCTCGGTGGTGCGTTTGCCGTCGTCGTCCACCATGACCGCCGCGTACTTTTTCTTCTGCAGCAGCAGCATGCGCTCGAACACGCCGTCAATGTCGATCTCCAGCAAGCGGTAGCGCTCGTTGACCGCCTTTTTGAACTCGAGCCCGATCCGGATCGCCTCGCGGTACTCGGTGGCGTTAGTGTTGATCATCACACTGTCCGTGTCGCCGTACACGACGTCGAGCAGCATCGACTCGGCAAGGTCCTTGGTGGCCGTCAGGATTTCGCGGCCCTTGAACGTCGTCAGCGCGGCGAGCGGGCGCGCGTAGAAGCGCGAGTTTTCGAATCCCAGACAGCCGTACATCGAGTTGGCCGTGAGCTTGAGCGCGAGCTGCTTGATGTTCCACTGCATCAGCTGCGACGGCGTCGCCGACTTGTCCTTCATGAGCGACTTGACCTGCCGACGCCGCGCCACGAGCTGTGCAATGATGCGCGGAAGCACGCCCTGCTCCACATCCGACGACGGCACGTCGGGGATCTTGTCGCCATCCACAACACCTTCCGCCGAAGCCTCGGCATCGCCGTCGGCGGCGACGGTGGCAGAGTTGACAGCGTCGTCGTCTTCGAGCCCTTGTGTCGGCGGGCGCTCGACCGTGGTAAAGTCGATGTTGAACTCCTGGATGATGGACGGATACAGCGAGTTAAAGTCCATGACGAGGATGTACTTGTCCCACAGCCCACGCTTGGGCTCGAACACCAGACCGCCCTTGAACTTGTCCTTCTTGCTGCTAGCCGCCGCCGCTGTGCCACTGCCTGCGGCGCCGTTCTTGGCCTTAGCCTTGGCCTTGAGCTCGGCCGCCTGCTGGATCTGCTTCTTCTCCCACGCCGAGATCTTGTCCGGGCAGACGTACTTCTGCCTGTGGAAGTCGTGCAGCAGGATGTACTCGTTGCGCTCGGCGCGGCCGCCGTTGAGCGTCTTGTTCCAGCTGTTGCCCGCCAGGTTGGTGAGCTGCTTGGTGAGCGGCAGGATCTGCACCTTGGCCGCAATCGCCATCTGGAAGAACGTGTCCACCTCGCAGTGGCGCACGTACGTCAGCAACCGCTCGGGCGACGGCGCGAGCGAGTCGAAGAACGATGCCGTCTCTTCGGGGTCGATGTCCTCGCGCTGGATCTTGAGATGCGTAGCACACATCTCGGTCAACGACCAGGTGGTCGAGGCGATCATCGACTTGCCGTTGTCCGAGGCCAGATCACACACGAGGCGGCCGGCGAGGATTTTGAGGTTCATGCCCTGCTTGAGCTTGGGCCACTTGGGACGGCGGAAGCGGCCGACGCGCGACCAGTGGTCCGCACGCAGATCCTTCATGCGGTGCAGCAGCACGTCGAGCGACACGCCGTTGAACTCGTGGCCGACGATGACGTCGGGGTCGGCATTGTGGATCTGCGCAAGCAGCGCGTTGAGCAGCATGCGCTCGTACTTGAGGGTATGCACCTTGATCTTGCCCTTGCGCGCCTCGGCCTCGAAGCCGGGCGGGAACATGCTGCCGAGCGGGCGCACCGCGGTGAATACGGAGCAGGGCAACTGTTCGGGCGGCGTGGGATCTTCGATCTGGTGGTCCGTCCACGTGCGTGCGCTGACCGCCACAAGCTCCTGCTTGTTCTCCTTGTGGTTGACCACCGTACGGATGGCGAGCGACATGACGGTAAGCGGCGGCGTCTCGCGTGGCGACGTGGTGTCTGTGTCCGAAATCGGCGCAATGTCTTTGGGATCCTCGACGGCGACCTCCATCTTGCACCACGAGATGGGCGTCGAGCCTTCGGCGATGCTGGCGTTCGAGATCTTGAGCCAGCTCGGGCCGAAGATGCGTCGCTTCACCACGAGCAGCTCGAACGGCGACGTGTTGGTGCCGAATGTCTTGCCGAACGTGCGGCCCTTGAAGTCGAACGGCAGCTGCGGCTCGTCAAAGCCGTAGCGGATCTTCATGTAGTTGCTCTCCGCCGGCACGCCCGCCTGTTCGAACGCGTACTTGCGTGTCACCCACTTGGACAGGAAGCGCTTGATGCCGTGCTTGGCCGAGAGCTCCTCGAACTCGTCGTAGATCTCGTCCTCACCGACGGCACGGTCGGTCTCGTGCCCGTTCTCGAGCTGCTTGGCTCGCGGAAGCAGGAAGATGCATCGCTCGATGCCGTTGACCGTGAGACAGCACGAGACGTACCTGCCCGTCTCCTTGTCCTTGACCTTGCCGACCAGGTACACCACGCCGTTCTCGCCCTCGAGATAGTCGAGCCAGTAGAAGAAGAGCGACTTGTCGTCCTCAAAAGCCTTGACCTTGCCCGCCGAAGGTGATGCGTTCCCGACCGCCGTCTTGACGGCGCCTGCGGGACCGGCCGGAGTAGGTGTGGTGGGCTCGACGTTCTTCATGAGGTCATTGTGCACCTTCTGCCAGCTGCTCCTGGAGGCGGGCGTCTTTTCCTGCTCCTTGCTCGCTGCGGGGGCCGCCGATGGTGTCTTGTTGGCGTCGGCGCCGGGGCTGGGCTTGGCGGGCCGCGGCGTGGCTGCAGCGGGAGAAGGCTGCTTTGGTCGGGAAGCTTGACCGCGCGCATCGACGGCCTTGGTCGGGATCGAGCCGACCTCGACGCGGCGAACAGCCAGGTCTTCAGCCTCGTCGTCGCTGAAGGCGAGGGCATCGTTGGTGAGACCCGCGGCGCGCTTGGACGGGTGGCTGATGAAAACGTCGGCGTCGGTCTCACCAAGCCCGAGGCTGCCAATGCGGCTGGGCAAACCTTTGGGACCGCGGAGCTTCTTGTTGGAAGCGGGCAGCTCGTCGTCGAGCTCAAAGACGGGGTCCGAGCCTAGGTTGGGACCCCAAGGAGGCGTATCGCTGCCGCTGACGTGGACGTTGGGTGCAGCGCTGTCGCTCGAGGGTTGTGCGGACTCGCTGGTGGGAGGGCCGGAGGAGGGGCTGGTGAAGCCGTTGCTGGCGCTGTGCGAGGTGCGGAAGCGCGAAAATGCACCCTCCTCGTGCTGCTTGCGCTTCTTCGAGAGCGAGGTCGAGAGGCGGTTGGCGGGCGAGGGGCTTGCGGGGTCGTGCGTCGACGTGGAAGGCTGCGCGCCAAACTCATCGAGGTTGCCCATGAGGCTTGCCATGAAGTCGTCTTCCTTCTCCTTGCTCACCGAAGGACGGTAGGCATCGAGGGCAGCGGATCGCACGCGCTGTGCGTCGCGCGCACGACTCGCTGTGAGGTCGCTCGACAGGCCGCTGGCCGTTTTGCGCTGCTTGCTGAAAGCTGCCGACAGACTCGACTTCTGATACGCTGACGAAGAGGCATCGGTGCCTTTGAGCTTGGATCGCGCCTTGGTGCCCTTCTTTGGCTTCCGCTTGCCCGTGCGCTCAAAGTATTCCTGCTCGTCTTCGGTGTCTTCGTCTTCGTCGTCATCGTTGGCGCGTGCACGCTGGTCCCACTCGTCTTGGCCGTGGTCTACGTAGCCGGAGCCATCGTCGTCCTCGATAAAGTCGTCATCCATGACCCTGCCGCGGATGATGGAGCGGTACTCGTCTTCCGAGACCTCGTCGTAGATGGCATCGTCGTCCGAGTTGTCGCCCGCCTTGGATGTCTGTGGCCGCAAGATGAAGCAGAGATGAACGGGTGAGCAGGAGCTCAGAGTGTCGACGGTGCGGTGAGAGAGCGCTGCAATGCTTACCGAGGGGAGGTCAACACCATCGCGCTTTGCTTTAAGTGCGGCGAGCGCATTCAGCTTCTTGGCTTTGGACGACATGGTGCGGAATGACCACGGGCCAGAAGTCGTCGACTCGTAGAAAGGAGTATGAAGCTCCGTCCGCGTGAGCTTTGAGATGCGCGCAAGGCACTGACGATCGGATGTAGACTATGCAAGGGCTGAGCGCTGTAGAGAAGTCGATGTGTATGTGCGGTAGCTTAGGCGATGGAGCAGGGGTGAAGTGATTGGAAGGAAAGTGCAGGCTCGCCGTCTGGTGTTGGCTTGGTGTCCGCGCGCCCCGCCGCTCTCCAAACGCGCCCTTCGCGACTGCGTTGCGTTCGTGTATATGGGCCCAACACCAACTTCCAACACTCAGCTCAGCGTGGCCCAGCTCGCGTTGCTCTCTCCTTCGCTCAAGCGACGCGAAGGCAGGACAGAGCTCCAAGGCCAGCCTGGCTCAGCAGTCCCGCGCGCGTGTTGGCTGAGTGGAGGAAAAAAGCCAACACGCACCCCACGCCAATTTCCGCGTTGCGCCAGCCAGCTCGCGACGCGACACAGGCGCGTTTTCCTCGGAGGCCAAAAAAATCTGAGCGCTGTTAGACCGACGCCTCGAAGTCGACGTTGCCCTCGCCGTATCGACGCCTAGCGACTACCGAGAAGCAGGGATCATACCGCTCGACCCTGTCCACTTCGACGTCAAAGGGTAATGATCACTTCCGTCGGATCCTATGTTGCAGTGCTTGCTTGTTCATCTCACCACACAGTACCCTACTCATGGCCATGGTCCAAAGCAGCCTTGGAGCCAGAAGCTTCGACTGCACCAGCTAGTGAGCTTCAGCTTGCTGATCATGACGACCTCTCCATTCGTACTCGTCTGTGCAAGGATCGAGCTCCGGTCCTCGGCTTGTGCTGGCTTTCAGCGGTCTAAGCTGCCCTTGGTGTTCAGCATCCACACGGCCATGTTTGGAGCTTGCGGCCGAAGCCCGTATGCACGGCACATCCAGGTACCACAGCAAGATTGATTTGGGCAAGATCTGACAGCGAAGCGCTGCACCGCCGAGCGGACAATCTTCCACATGCGGAATCCTGTCTTTGGCTTCCACACCTTTCTCGTCGGCCAGGCATTCGTCATGTAGCGAGATGAGGCTTGCATTAATCCGAGTGAGACCACCTCGGTACAGAGGAGTAGCACTAGCACCAGCTGCAAGGAAACAGACGTCAATTTGGCCGCCGGACATGACACGCATGGATCGGACACACAATGGATCCACGCTGAAGATTACAGCAAAGGAGACGCCAACCAAAACGATTCTGCAGTGCATGGCGAAGCTGAGTGGAGTCCCATGCCCTGTTCTCTCAATTTGCAGCCTCAGTGATGCAATACTGTAGCTCCGTCCGCCTTAAGCCTGAGGCTGTGACAGTGGTTTGCTAGGCATGGGCCACTTCCAGGTCAGTGTGCTGCGGATGAGGAGCCGCGAGCTTGGTCATCTGTACTACCACAGATCGCATGAATCATCACAGCAACCATCCTCCGCCTGGCACGTCCGGATGACGTCCAGCCGTGAGATCCCATCTACTGTACTCTCCATGACGAGCACCAATGTCAAAATCTGGGGCTTGCGAGGTGAAGCCGTCGGGATTGCTCGGACCTTGCCTGGCCGCGAATCATGCGCAGTGAGATGGGAAAACACAGGCCGAGCGAAATGGATGTGGCTATACTCGAGCCGGACGGGCAGCATGCAGGCGGGTGCGGCCAAAGCGGCACACCGGCACGCAACGCAGGAAGGGTAACGCGCTGAAAGCAAGAATGCCGAGCGGAGCCCTTTTTTTTTGCCCTGGCTGGCGCTGGAAAGAAATTCTTGACCCAGACGAGCAAATGCCTCAAGATCCTCCCACTTCCAACCCAGCTGTCCGTTTTCATGCGACTACGATGACCATCCAGGCGCTGGTGATCCGTATCCTCCCATCACCAACATCATGCTCGATGGAAGCAGCTGCATCTTTATGAGATCACCTTCCAGCAAAGGTCAAGATCGACCTCAGATCCTGTGGAGATGTGTGGACACGCAATCCGTCGGATCACGACCGCTCGTCATCACCCCTCGTCGTGAGAATTATAATCAAGCAAACAAAGCCAATTTTGGACGCAGCCACCGGCCATTTGCGTAGCAAACACGCTAGAGCCCCTGATCCAGGGCTCGAGACACACATTGATCGCGCGCTGAGTCGCCCCACATCAGTGGCCGAAATGTCCATTATCGAAGCCAAACGGCGCGCGGCCCAGTTGTTCCGATTGCCACAGCAAGAGCACCTCGCGTACACTCTCTTGCACGAGACATGGCCATGTAACGAACGAAGTTGCCAGACGCTCAAAGGCAGTTGCTCGTCGCGCAAAGGCCACAACAAGCGCCGATTCAACGAGTCCGAGAGCCATCTTTCAACCGCTTTCGTGATCTTCGTGCCAGCATGGCTTTGACAAGAGGCATGTCACAGGATCTATTTCCGGAGCGAGCCGGTGAAGACGCGAGCATCCGTACCTTGCACGCCACGCTGCATCTCGGTCGCGGCTGCATGTGATCTTTGAGTTGGTGTGCATGGACCATGCTGCTGAGTGCCATCACGACAGTCCACGAAGAGCCACTCAGCGGCCAGGCTTGAGGTCCGCCGATCGAAGTGTACAGACACCAGGCTCCGCTCCAATCCACCTGCGTGCGCCGCGGGTCTGCGCCACCGAGTTGGGTGAGGCAATCGCCAAAAATTCGTTAAATTCCATCGGAAAATGCGCTGTCCAGGGTAACGCGTTCCTGAAATGCAATTTTGACAGCTCGGAAACGGCTGGACAAACAAGCCGCAACGCCTCTTGGCCAGTGTGACGTGCATCCATGATCGTGAGCGGATTGGCTCTCTTCTGACGCCAGCCAGCTCCGCTTGGCTGTACAATCTCGCCACTGTCATCCTTTCTCTGTCATCAGCACCTGCCACATCAACAAAAAGATGAGTCTCCGATCAGGATTTCCTCGGAAGTCGGTCAACCTGATCCTGACAGCCAAGTTTTTTTGGTGTGAGTTTCGGCACGCTCGTCCCGGTTCGGCAGCCTTGCATCCCCCGCGACTCGATCAAATCTGCCGCATCTGATTCTTCCAAGCAGAATCTCGTGAGCTCGTCATGCACTCACTGCACACCTCCGCAGTCATGCCTGTCCTTGGCCGGAAAACCCTGTCGCATTGACGGTCTGGACCACACTTAGCGTGGCGCCACAGGGGCCTTGCTGAGATTTTCTCTGCATCGGATATGCGGACATTCATTCTGCCGCGTCGCAGCTATTCCGCCGCCAAGAAACGTTCCAGAACGGTACCTCCCTAAAGCGTCTACTGCACCCGACACTATCTCGACACGATAATGCCTCCCATGCTGAAGGTCGTCAGCAACGGAGGTGAAACCAAATCCAGACTGTGAACTGCGGGCCAGCTCGGGCTGCTGTCTCGGCCGCTTCGATGCCAAGAAAGAAGTCTGCCGAAACAACCATTGGTCTGGCTTCGGCCTTGGTCTGAGCAACGTGCAAAAAAGCTGACCACACTAGGCCGACAATAAATGGCAGGCTGCGTCGAATTTGGCTGAGCTGCTGACGAAGATGAATCACTTGTTCGGGAAGGGACGTTGAGTCCGCGCAGGGTCTATAGCAGGACCATGCCAGGGTCCCGTGTGAGTGCATTTACTGCGTACCGTCTACAGTATCGAATGCGGAATTGCATGTCCTGACGTTTGAATTCAGCCTCATCAATGCACAAGACAGGCAGAATGTGGTACATAGCTGTGAGGGGGCGCTTTTTTCAGCTGTGATGAACCACGTTTCTTGGCAGTCAAGTGCAACAAAGTGATCGGAGCGAGCTGGTTTTATCCGGCGTCACCCGGAAACCGTGCTCAGCTGTCACGCAACACGATGTCGAGGTGCCGACCGTGTGGTAAGTGCGCCACCCATTCCAAGCCTGATCGACTGGGATCGGCAAGCCACACGACTTTGACACGGTGCGACGCCACGCGGAAAAAGACGACGATCCGCGGGATTTTCTTTGCGTCCCATTTCATGCAGTCGCAGCGGAATTTGGCCGTCGAGCTCCCTAACGGCATAGTCTAGGTTCAGTGGCGCCACGACCACACTCCACCACACGGGAGCATGACGCGTGGCTACCAATATATCGCCGTTGCTGCACTGGGAGATCCGCAATGGGATATTGCGTACCAGCCATGCAGACAACCCGCTGCTACAGGGTGAGAAAAAGTCGCGGTGGACGGAGTCGAGCACCAAACTTAGGCTTTCGGGTGGCTTCGTCGGCTTGAGAGGTAAGGAGACTCGATCGTCACGCACATTTGCTAGCAGCGGCTTTTAAGAGGTCCATTTACAGCAAGGTCGCCCGACGCTCTGACCCTTGTGACTTTTGTTTGGAAGTGCATGATTCCTGCGCGATAGCTTGGCAGAAACCATCCACAGCCACTGCCTTGGTACTTGTCCTTACCCCCTTTGCTTCCTCCGCCACACACCATGCGTGTATCAATCGGATCCGATGTTGCATTAGTGCGCGCGTTTTAAAGCCACTCGGATTATCCTGCTTGGTACCGAGGTCCATGTGATAGTATTGTTTCCGCTTGTGGATGTTGGACTGCCCACTGTAAATTTCAGTCTGGTACCAGTGATCTTGAAGCGTGCTCTTCTGGTGCTCCAAACATCCACAAGCATAGAAGGCTACAACAATGAAGCCTCCTCGCTCGATCTCGGGGGACGATCAGACGAGTCCCGTGGCTCAGCAGTCTACCGCAAGCGGCGCTATCAGATAGATGAGCTTGGCGCTGCTGTCCGGATCCAAAGCTGACAGCCGTGCTCGTCGTCCGGGATGTTCCAGACACTCGGTCCCCGTTGAGTTCTGAGCTCATCCGTTCGGCTCGCAAGCGGACGGGAGAGCCCGTCAGAGTCTAGACACAACTCGGCGTCTCCGGATCCCAGAAAGAAGCCATGTAGGTAGCGAGAGGCCTAGCGAGCCGACCGGTGCGTTGCCGAAACACCGGAACGGCGAGCAGCAATGGTCATGGAGGTCTAGACATTTGCAGCCTTGGACAGTGGCAGCGACTGCGCGATGGAGGTCTGGCCCACAACGTGATCACCGCGGCGTGTACACGTGAAGGCCGTCAGTACAGCTCAGCTCGGAGCTGGAGGCTACACGGCGATGGGCAGGCACGATGGACGCCGCGGAGGGAGTGGATCGGTGAGGGAAAGGCAATGCCGGATGGGGAATCGCCTCAATCCGCCGTCGGGGATAGCTGGGCCACTAGAGCAGCGAGCCAATGGATGTTTGTTCACTCTTTCATGAAGACAAGGGTGCCGCGACGTTGCAGGGCAGCACAGCGCGGGCTTGCCTCGCATCCAACCCAAAACTGAGTTTGGTGCAGCTGAGAGCTGCAGACTTGGACATGTCGCCTAGCGTAGGTGCAGCGCCGATACAACTCGGCCCCAACGATCAATTCAAAAAGCAAGCCGAAACTTGTATTTATAATAATAATTTCCGCATCGCCTGCGGAGCTGCAATGCGAAAATCCGAAAATCTGAAAATCATTCGACGGCGATCTGCCCTCTGCAGAGCAAGCGCAACTTTTTAACCTTGTCGATCAAGCGTGTTTACCTCGTGCTCGCCACGRGGCCCCCCCCCCCCTCCCCGCCTTGACCTTGGCATGGTCCACCTGCTCAAGTCCGCCGTTGTTCGAGTCCTATTCTGAGCCGTAATCGATCCGCACAGAGCTGCGACGATCATCGGGCTCCTAGCATTGGACCATGCTGCCATCGAGCTCTCTAACTCGCAACCATGGTTGCGCTGCAAGTTCTCCTTTTTTGAAAAAGCTATTTTTGTTTTTCTGGCGAAAAGATTTTGACAGTCCGCCCGCGTGGGTCGCGCTGTGTGAGCGGCTGACGAGCTGCGCTTTTTGACAGTCCGACGATGATTGGCAGGAGTAACATCTTCCGCATCGGGAAGATCCTGGTCGCTGCCGACTTTGCTTCTCACGACCCACACTCATCACGGCCATCCTTGCCCGGTGCCATCGGTGCTGGGCTCAACTCCGTCATCGCCCGCTCCACCACCCGCACCTCTCGCTCACCGATCCTCCGATCCTCGGTCGGAGCTCTTCCAGCTCGGCCAAAGTGGTTCACCATCGTCACTAGTCCGTTTTGTTTCAAGGTCAAAGATGAGCACCGACCATCGACGATGGTAGCAGCATTGATCCAAGTTCTCATCGCTCAGTCAACTGATGAGCTGGCTGCTCCAGATCAAGAGACTCACATGGGTAGCGCGTATCGCATTTTGAGGGGTGCCCATGTGTCAGATGAGGTGTCGCGAAGGTGCATATGCTCGCAGTCCGGGCTGGCCTGCATTGCAGTGTCTCAGATCGACATCGCTCGGGCTGGTCACTTCCTCCCAGCGGGTGCATCAGCGTGCAGCGGCTTGCATGCTACAGTACCCCGCTGCCTGTATGTCCCAAGTGCGGGTGTCCCAAGTGCGGTTCATGCAAACACTTCCCTCTCTATCGTCACAATTGTCGCATCGGAATCCGAACCTGGTCATGTAGTACAGTCGCATGGATCAGGGAAAAACTGTGGATGACAATGACACCCCCTTCCGCAGCACAATGAGCCTCGCAACACAATGAGCCGTGTCACGAGTATTTCCCACCATAGCATTCACACTTGGGTGTAGCCCGCATGAAAGCGCATTCCTCGTCTGGAGGCGATACTTCCATGTCCAAACAAATCGAGTATCCTCGCCATGCTCGTACCGATGCGGGGCCCAGCAGTGCCATGGTAGGACGAGACTCCGTGGTGCTTCACTTGCCGGCGACGTACACGTGTACTGGGTAGTGTCTCCGGTCATCACTCGGTCAAGTCGGGCTGTCGGACGCCGAAGACGAGGCCTGGACTTGCGCAAGTCCGAAGCGCGGAGTCGACGGCGATGGAAGAGGTTGCTTTGCTACCGGTTGGGGAACCAGCGAGCACGAGGAGGAGCTTGAATTAAAAACAAAAATCAGGAAAAAAAAAAAAAGAAAAAGAAAAAAAGAAAAAAAAAAAAAGGTCGAGACAGCGGCGGTCGGGGGCCAAGTTGGGTTTTTGTTTGGTTGTCCGCCAGCGCTTCTCACGTCGGCGACTCGCCAGTGCTGAGCTGCCACACACCGACTGACCGATTTCGACAGCCTTGACGAGTCTGGTGGCGCTCTTCTGCGACGAAATGGGCGCTCGATGGACGTGTGGTACAAGCAGACCGTGGCAAGGTTCATGCCGCCCCATCCAGAACGGAGCGGTCTCCGAGCCTCGTGCGCTGTTTCAGCTTGGCCGACGCACCCCTGATTTGGATCCGGCGAGCCCTTGCAGACGTCTCGCGCAAAGACCGACGGCAATGACTGTCCGATGGCCATCCCGTTTCTATTGTCTAGAGACCGCGCCCTGGTTTGCTGGGCCCTGCATCTCTCTCTCTCTCCCTCTCTCTCTCTGCGTAGTGTAGGATTGTCCGGAAGCCGACTCGGTTCCTGACGGTCGGGGCCTGCGTGTTCCTGCTTCTGACACCTCGTAGCCGAGGCTGCAGCGTGGCCTGTCTCGCATAGCGAGACCGACGGAATCCATAAAAAGGTCGGCCATCATCTGTGGCCATCCCTTGGCTCGATCCGGATTCCCCAACCTTGTCCTCTCGGCCATTCCTGCTCCGTGCCCAGCCTCGACTCTCCATCCTCGTGCACGTTATTAGGCGGCTACTGTGTTGCCTCTCTTTCACCATGTCCCACATCTCGATCCTTTCTGCCCCACTCCCATCCGCCATCCGCACCAGTACCGACGACGCCTACTTCCACTCGCAGCCGGGCTCGAGCAAGCAGTCGCTCACGGTGCCCGAGAGCTTCCTGCGCCCCTCGCGCTCGCGATCCAACAGCATCCATCCCCACCAGTACGGCGTCAACAGCCTTCCTGGCTCGCCTGTGTCGACAACGTTCCCACAGCGACCGGCGTTCCGTCGTGCACTCACCAGCACCGCAGCCTCTAGTGTCAGCTCGGAACAGTCGCGCTTTGACGATCTGCACTATTCGCAGACCCACTTTTCCAGAAGCACGCTGCTTGTCTACCCGGACTCCGAAGCGACACTACAGCCGAGTGGTGAGGAGCAGGACGGCGATATTCGCGAGCTGCTGGCATCGTCGGACGAAGAGTCTTCGCTGCCCCCCTCGACACCGGGCTTCGAGACCACCAAGATCCCACCGCGCGGATCGTCCGTCTCGCTGACCACCAAGCAGTCGATGGAATCGGACAAGTCCGTCTACTCTGAATCCATCGTTCTCGCACCGGCACCCAAGCAGAGCCAAGATAAACTCAGCGGGTTAGTAAGCATCCCCTTTCACAGTCGTAGCGATCGAGTAAGAGACTGACTTTGGGGTTTTGGTGGGCGTGTAGAAAATGTCTCAGTCAGGTTCACAGTTGGCTGGCAAAGCTGCCCGCACGAGCGTGAGCAGCTACAACGACGCATCGATCCGGTCCAATGCGTCGAGCGACTCGTCGAAGAAGAGGCGCTCGCGCATCTTGATGAAGATCATCCCGTTTGCGCGCGAGTCGAGCTCGCCGGCGGTCGAGGCGGCGCCGCGCTTCAGCACGTTTCCGCGCGCGCGGTCCAAAGGCACCGACGAGCCGCTGGAGACACTGGCGGATCGGTTCAGCGGTATGGCGATGGACTCGCTCTCGCCGCCATCGTCGGCGTCTTCGTTCACCTCGACGTTCTCTTCGACCCCGGCAACGTCGCCCGAGATGGGTATGTCGGAGCTTCCCGCTAGGAGGTCGGGAAGCCACGGGCGGAGAGAAGGGTGTCGACTCAAGGGCACCTCGTCGCGCGAGTCGGTGCGCACGCTTTTTTCTTCGCCGTCAAGTGGGAGTTTGACCGCCAAGGTACCTTCGCACGACGAGGAGAGCGAGTGGGAGAGGACGTTGCAGTCCGCAGCCAGCCGGGCGTCGTGGCAGAGCAGCATCAATCATCGTCCGCGTCCACACGCGCCGGCGAGCTCCGGACACAGCAGGACGGCGAGCCAATCTACCTGGCCACGCGCCATCTCGAAGCCTGTGCACCAGCGCGACAGTCTGCTGCTCGAGCACGTCTTTGTCGATGCGTCCGACGACGGCGTGGGCTCGTATGCCGAATCGGCCTACTCGCGATTTCCGGCGGACCACGAGAGCTCGTACGATCCGAGGTCAAGAGGTCCGTCCGTGGTGAGCAGCAGCTCGTACGCGCCCCCCGTGCGCCGACCCGCGCGGCACGGCCAAGCGCCTTCCGAGGGTCAGGAGGAGCTGGGACAGGGCCGATTCGGCACGCTGCCAAGGGTCAAGACCCGGCGTCCGTCGACTACGGGCACGTCGGTGCGCGGCGAGCCGGCTCGGTTTGAGCTGCAGCCCAGCGCACCGCAGCGGCCCGTACCGGTTCGAAACGTAGTGCTGGGCACAGCATCGCTAGGACGAGCCACGTCGCTTCGCCGAAGACCCGAGACGACGTCGATCTGGCAGATGGGTCGACGAAGGTCCTCGGGTGTCGGCAGTCTTTCTCACGCGGGGTCGTTCTCCGCGGGGGCAGCGAGGATGATGCCGACGATCCCGCAGGGACACTCGCGCGAAACATCGCTAGCGGATTCGGTTGACGACGGCATCGACCCATGCGAGGTGGGCGATGAGCTGTTTGCGCGCGGATACTCGGTGCGCCACGACAGCCTGGCGTCCGACGGCTCGGGCGAGTGGATCCCCCTGCGCTTCGGGTCGTGGCGCAGAGAGTCGCAGGACGACCTGGCACTGCTGAGCCCCGCTCGCCGCGACTCGTTCGTCCAGCGCGCGGCTGCACCCGTGTTCAACCTGACGCCGTTCAGAAGACCCACAATGGACGCCGGCAGGCGCGACTCGAGATCGGCGCAGGTGCCAGACGTACCCGAGGCCGTCACGTCAGAGACAGAAGAGGATGGCATCGATCTCGAAGGATGGTGCCGAAGAAGAAGCACCTTCTCAGATCAGATCCATCAAAGCCCAGCCCGCACCGCCCCCGCCCTTGCTTTCTAGCTTCGTGGCTTCCCCATCAAAATTGTCCATGCTCCGTTCACATGTTCATTCCTGTATTTGTACGCAAGATCATCGTAATCACTCTGTCCATCCCAGTCACCCTTGCCAGTCGGTCCTTGCGTCTGAGCTTCACTGTTGTATTGTCCGGGGAGTAAGCGTGGAGGATGCTATCGGAGGCCTCTGGACGGGCCTGGGATGCGGCCGCCGAGACTGGTGACGGCCTTGGAATCGAGCGGAAGGCCCGTGTTGGGGTCGATGTTGTTCTGAACAAGGATCTGCTTGTGCCTGATGAGGCGAGCCTGGTCAAAGGACACGCCCTGGGTCTGCATGATAGTCTGCACATCCTGTGCGCCCGATGGATCGAGGCCGCTACGCGCATCGTCCTCGAGGTTCGCAGAGATGTCGAAGAGCGTGCTCGAGAGGCCGTTGGCAGCGTTGGCGGACCAGTCAAATCCAGGCACGGCGGTGTAACGGCGCGAACCGAACCATCTGCCAAACACGCCCGACGACGGCGTGTGGAAGGGCAGCCCCGGTGCGGTGGATACGGACGCTTGGAGTGCGGCTGGCAGGCGCGATGCCATGGCGTCCGGAACGAGGCTCAGAAAGAAGGCACGATTGCGGTAGACGAGGATAGCCACCGCCACCACAAACGACGCCGTCAGCAGGCGGTAGTACATGTCGACTCGAGGGCGCAGGGTGCGAGTCGGTGCGGTGTTGGGCCTAGTTGACCGAGACGGGCCCCTGGCTCAAATCCGATCTTCGATCCGTAGTCGCTCGTGATTGGCGGCTGTGCGGCTGTCGAGCGGATGTCGACGTCGGCGATCTTGATCACCGTCCGAGGTTGAAAAGTCGGAGGCTCGACGATCGGAGCGCGCGGACGGCGGACGTTGTCGGTCAAGCTGCGTGGTCGGCGTGCAAACAAGACCGAAAGAGGACCCCAGGGGCTACGATCGAGACCTCGACCGACCAACAGCGCTTGGAATGGCCTAGACCGAGCTTTCGATTCTGTTTGTAGACGCAAGCGGAGTGCGTGGTTGCAATCGCATCGTCAGGCGGCCAGGATGGTGGTAGTCGGTCAACCAGTGGCCCAGCTCAGCATCGCCAACTCAACTCAACTCAGCCGCCAATTCAGCCTCCACCTGGCAACGGGCCGGTGTGCCTGCATTATTCGAGCGCAATTTCCGCACCCGCCAAGACGGATGCGGATGCGGTGGCCGGTACCCGAAAATCCGAGAAGAAGCAAAGGGGATATGAACGCTAAATTCGGAGCGACCGGTGATACACTGGCTGGTTGGTGAAGTGGCCTAACACACTGGTTTTAGGACGACTAAGGTTCTGCACGGACCTGAAGATGTTCACACCAGGATTCCTGGGTTCGAATCCCAGACTAGTCATTTTTTCGCATTTTTCCTCGACTTTTTATGCCTTTTTTCGTTTTCGTTTGCTTTCCTTTGCTACGACAAAAAGTCGATCAGAAGCACCACATCCTGGACGGACATACAAGCATCGATAATGGGACAAGGTATCGATTTGTATGTGTGCAATTGCTCTAGTGTAGGTATGCGAGTCAACGATAAGGTCTAAAAGAATGGTCGTCGGTGTGGGCGTTGGGAATCACTCCTCGATGGTAGGCCCCACGGACGCCTTGACCAGTGCGGCGAGCGATTGGCCGGGAAGCGCAGCAAAAGTCTCGGAGGCCGGGATGGTGGCGGAGCGCTGGTCGATCTCGTGCTCGATATGCTGGGTGCCGAGCTTGAGCAGTGTGTAGTCGTTGCTGATGGAGCGGCGGTTGTGTGCTGCGGGCGGCGTCGACTTTTTCGTCTCGGTGTCGACGGCGAACGCACCCGCAAGCTCGCTCGACGTGGGATTGAACAGGCTCATGGGTCTCGGTCGCGATTTGGTCGGGCTGTCGAGTGGACGGCGACGTGCATTGGTATCGGCCGTCTTGAGGGGCGATGGCTTGCGCTGGGGGCTGGCGAGGTTCTCGACCATGTCGCGCGTCTGCTGGTGCGCCAGCTCCATCAGCTGCGCATTCGCCCTGCGCAGCCGATCGCTCTCGGCCTGAATCTCGGCGATGAAACTGTCCTTCTCCTCGAGCTTGCGCTCGAGCTCGGCCAGACGCGCGGCGAACTCGCGCTCCACATCTTCGCGGATCTTGGGCGGGGCATCCTGCGCCTGCGCTTCGCACACGGCCTCCAGCTCCCGAATCTGCTGCTGCTGCCGAGCCACTAGCTCCACCTGCGCCTCGGACGACGACGGCAAAGATGGCCGCGAGGCGAGCTTGCGCGAGAGAGCTTCGATCTTGCGGTTCGCCAGGAAGAGCTTCTCGGCCAGGATGTGCGGCGGATCGTCAAAACCAAATACGTAGCTCGCCACTACCGCCGACGAGCGCTTGACGGGCGAGACGGGCCGCGCGTACGCGGAGGCACCCGCAGTAGTGCACGACGATTGCGATGCGCTGCGCGACGTTGCCGGCGTGGACAGGCCTGCTGAGCGAGCAGTCGAGAGCGTCGAGCTTCCGGACGGCGTGCGCAGCTGGCCGGGCTCGTCGTCTTGCTCATCGCCCGAGTCGGTGCCGATGGTGCTGGGCTCGCCATCGTGTGCACGCCCGCCACGCACGACGAGCGAGCCAATCACGTCGAGTCGCTCCTGGAGTTCGCGGATGCGCTCGTCGTCGACGGCGGCCACCTCCTGCACCTGTGCGGCGCCCTGCCTCTCGAGCTCCTGCACCATCTTGCGCAGCGCATCGGCTTCGGTCTGGTAGCGCAGGATGAGCGCCTGCGCCTCGGCGCCCAGCCCGCCCATGCTGCCATCCACCTCGTTGCGACGCGCGTGCAGACCGACCTTCTTGATGCGCTTGGCAAAGTTGAGCGTCGAGAGGCTCTCGTCGACCGCGCTCGGATTCGGGTTGATGGTGCACACCACCGCCACACGCGCATTGCCCGAGAGCGAGTTCTGCAGGATGCGCGTGAGCTTCGAGTCGCGGTACGGAATGTGCGTGCCCGCCGCGGCGGCGGTGGTGCCCTTTTCTGAGAGCGCATAAATGACCTTGCCGAGCGTGAGGAGCGACTTGTTGATGTGCGCACCCTCGGCGCGCCGATCCGAGCCTTGCGATACGTACTTCTCCGAACCCGCCAGGTCGATCAGACACAGCTCGGACACGGTCACCTTTTTGCCGAGCTTGCTTGCGCCCTCGCCGGGCGCGGGCGACGAGGCCGTGTCGCGCTCCCACGACTCGATGGTCATCTTGAAGCACGTGTGCGAGCGCGAGCTGCGTTCGTTCCAGTCGGTCGCGCCCACGTGGCGGTTCGCCTGGCCGCGCGCGAGCAGCTCGCGCACCTGCGCCGGGCTCGTCACGATCTCCTCGCGCAGCGGCTGCACGGTGGTGCCCTTGCCGCCGCGACGGCGCTTGTCGTCGCGCACCTGCGGCACATTGCTCGGTTCGAGAAGGTCTTTGACCACCTCGTTCCAGATCTCGAGATAGCTCGCGCGCAGCAGGTACTCGCGCCGCGCCGAGCTCTGCTGGATGCCGCGGAAGATGTCGCGCACCGCGCGCGGGATGATGCCCGCCTCCTGGCCCCGTTCGTCGCCCGAAAGCGTGAAGGTCTTGCCGGACGCGGTCTGACCGTAGGCAAAGACTACCGCGTCGTAGCCGTCCAGCGCCGCACGAACCAGCGGTCGCGCAACCGAGATGTATACGGGACGATTGGCAGAGCCGGTCTGGATGCCGTCGAATGTGAATGGCCCGAGGTTGGCGCTCTGCGTGCGTCCGCTTGCGATCGATGCTTCGAGTGCGACGGTGCCCGAGTAGGGATTGGCGACCCACGCGCATTCCTCGCCGCGCTTTGGCGGCCGCAGTCGCACATGTACCTGGACGGTCTCCTGCCCACCTGCCTCGGCAGGCGCATCGGCATCCGCATCATAGACGAACGAAGAGTCTCCTGCGTGCTCGCCGTCGTTGCTCGTATCGCCGCTGGTCTGCCAGGTGGATGACGAGTGGGCGTAGGCCTCTGCGAGGCTCTCAGCATCTATTGTCAGCTGTGTCTGCGCCTGAGCCAGAGCCGAGCGCGACGAGATGGGTTGACGCTGTTCGGACGCCGCAGTTGCTCTGAGCGCCGAGACGGAGGCGTGCTTTCGTGGCGAGCGGATGCGAGCCGCCACATCGGCCGACACGGCTGCCTTGATTCGGGGTGTGGAGGGCGCAGCTGGCTGAGCCGCAGCAGATCGTCCTGCCATGACCGACGGTGTGAGCGATCTCGGCCTCGATGCGGGTTCCTCGAGTGCGAAAGGGTTTCTCGAGAAAGCGGGCTCGGCCTTGAGACGAGGCGTTGCAGCTGCCGAGACGGGTGCGCTGGCGGTGGCCGTGTGTGTTTCGATTGGAGCGAGATTACGGGATGCGGATCGAAGCGTCCGAGCAGCGGCGGGATGCGAGACCTGCGGGGTCCGAGTGGGTTGCTGATGAGCCGGACTGAACGGTGCTGTGTACGAAGCGGTCTCGAGTGCCGATGCGGGTCGGGCCGGAACGACAAAGTTCGCTCCCAGTCCGCCGGGTTTGGTGCTGGAGTCCCGGATGGGAAGCGAGTCTACGCTGTTGCTGGCTTCGGTCACGAGGTAGGCGTACGGGGCTGGCTTTGAAGGCTTGCGCTTGGGCACGAATGGCTCTCTAGCTGCGGCTGCCGAAGTCTGATCGTCGCTGGTGAGCGGTTGAGATTGATGCGCGCTGGCTGCTGTCGCGCGCGTTACGGCCGGTGACATGAGGAAGGCGCCTGACAAGCCAAGGCGAGACGTGAGCACCTGCGCCAATGCCCACAGCGTCTGCGTGCGGGTTGCTGCGGCAGGGACTCGAATGAAAGGGAATGAAATGAAGGCGGATGTCTGCAGCACCGCTGATGAAAAGGACCGTGAGTGTGAATGCTGCGCCGCAGCGATGCAGATGCAGATGCAGATGTTGGCACAATGACAAGGAGGAGGCGGCGCACGGAGGCACAGACGAGCTTTCGCCGCCCGCAGTGCAGCAGCAGAGACCAACACTTTTGCGGCTGCACAACACGCGTGTGCCTGAACTCCAACCCGCTGCCTCACGTGACGCTCGCCCTCCCAAGCCATTTTTCGACCTAACAATTATAAATTTTGTGCGCCGTGGTTGGCACAACTCGACACGCTGCCTTTCCGGGTCCCTCTCCGCCGTCCGGAGCAGACGCCTTTGCAGACCGCTATGTGGCATTGTGCCGGGACGAAGAGTCCACCAAAAATGGTGGGCCTCAGCGGCTTGGTCGGCTGACAGCTCACCTCGCCCCATATGTCACTTTGTCAACCAAATGGCAACGGCTTTTTAGGCCAGGCCGCCTTCCGGCAACGCAGAGCGAATATGCGGGGGTAGATGGGTGCACGAAGATTACAAAGAAGGAACGTGGGTAGGGATGGCCTTGCAACGAGGTTTGTTCTTCCAAGCGAGTGAGAAAGCACATCAGGGCAAGTAGCCTTGCAGCGCTCGCTCTTGGCAAGATTGCACGAAGAGACGGCACAGAATCTTTCCAAGGCGATTCTCTGAACCACACCAAGAAGGCAGGGTGTTTCACGCGGGCGCGCACGATCAAAAAGAGCGATGGGGTAAGGGTATACGGGTGCGGTATGAGTACAGGCAAGAACCGTGTGAGGCGAAGGAGATCATTCAGCCGAGACGGGTGGCTCGTGCTGCTCTCGGCGCCTCCTCCGCGCAACCACTCCAACTACAACTAGGCCCGCCAAGACGATCAATGCAGCGAGTGCTCCGACGACAAACAGCACCGCGGTCACGGGTACGTCTTGCAGCACATCCGCCAGCGTACCTCCGCTGGAACCGGGGTGAAAATGGATCCCATCCTCTGTTTCCTGATCGTTAGAGGCGAGGAGGGCGACATCGACAGCGCACACGGCCGCACAATACCCCAAAGTGGGCACGGCACCACAAGCTAGCCAGACAAAGAGTCTTGCGCGCATGGCTTGAAACGTGCGCATCTGCACCATCAGCAGGTCGAGCACGAGAAACATCCCCGCCGCCACCAGTGGGATTGCGGGGCTGAGCGAGTGCCAGAGTCGGGCGGCTTCGAATGTGAAAAACCCCGCCTGGTAGAAAAGCAGCACCGCCTGCAGAGTGTACCTGCCCCAGCGGGTGTGGTGAAAATTGCCCAGCCGACTGCGTTTGGTCAAAGCAGCTTCGGTGTTGGGGCTGTCGGGAGGGAGTGCGAGTGCAGGTAGTGGGAGCACTTGTTCGCCCAGTGTCGAGCGATGAGGCTGGTCCAGCTGGACGCTTAGGTGGCGCCGCCGAATTGAGGACTGCCGTGGAAGAATCAGTGGACCTGCTACAGTGGTGCTTCGATGATGAACAACGCCGCGCGGCTCGTTGCGTGTCCGAGCACTCCCAGCAACAGCAAAGCCTGGTGCGTTGCCATCGCTACTTTGCGCAGCAGCGAGGGTCGACCCTTGAAGCTCGAGCAACAGTCTTCCCACCGTTCCTGGAGGTCCTGCAATCCAATCTTCCCCTCTTGACTTGGCCCTTTCTTGCACAGGTGCGGACGCGGCTATTCCCAGCTCCACACAATCACTCGCCTCTCTCACGACTAGATCGCCCAGAGCCGTCCTACGATCAGCGTCGATGGTGCTCCATCGAAAGTGCGATTCGGCTTTGAGTGGCGTTTGCAGTGGTGACAATGCCGGCGTCGCATCGTCTCTGTTCAGGCGACGGAGGTGGACGGAGCCGATGGTGTCGCGTGAGGAGCCGGCACCGCTCCGACTCATGGTGAGCGCTTGGCTGAGCGGTCGAAAGATCTCTTCGGATCGCCGCGTACTGGCCGTATCGGTCGTGGCCACCTGCCAGGGTACGAGCTCGATCGTCTCGCTCGAGCGCGTCTCGCCCGAGCCAGACGAGCGTCGTGGTGAGAGCGAGACTGCACGCAGGCCTCGCTCACCTCCAACCTCTGAACCTGTGCGGGCGTGCACAGCCGAGACCGGCTCGATTTGGGACGTCACCGCGATCGGTCGGTGAGAGGATGTTGAGGGCGGATGCATGCACTTGAGCGTCTCGTCGGGATGATCGGAGGTCGCCGACGGTATCAGAGACATCTCAGAGGAAACACCTTGAAAGCCTCCAGATGCTAGCGCTGGATGTGGGTCGTGGTTCTTCTTGTCGTGGATGTGGTCGAGACGTTGGAAGGTTGAAGCAGCATCCCAGCTCTTCGGATCCGCGGCACTGATGAAGGTCCCACAGGCTGTGGCGTCGTTTCCCTGCGCTGCTGGATGCTGCGATTTGGTGGTGCCTTCATTCGTGGCGTCTCTCTGTGAGCTTTGCTCCAGGCGTGACCGCGAGGATCGTGGGGACAGTGCTGGCTCAAGCCTGAGAGCTCTTGCCCCCCAACTCGGTGATTGTGGAGCATGTGAAGTGCCAAACGTCAAGAGCGAGGACGGACTTGGTGCAAGCTGAGAAGAGTGACGACGAGGCGAGCCGATCAGAAGGAGCTGTTTCGGCCTGAACGTGGGTGTCGACGCCGAGGGGCTCGCATCGACACGTCGGGACGAGGCTCTTGAAGTCGAACGACTGATGGCGTAGGGTGGAGATCTTCGCGCCCAACTGCCGTCCGGACTGCCCGGATTGGGTGCCGAGAGGCTCGAGAAGCTCGATAGCCGCGAATGGTCGAGTCCGAACACGCTCGTTTCCGCCTTCGAGGTGTCCTGGTACGCTGCCTCGATGATGGTGTCCAGCGCGCGTGACTCGGGTCTCGGGGTAGTTGGGGTATGTGTGCGGCCGCTCGCACCACCAGTGTCGGCGAAAGCCTCGCTCGGCGGTCTCCATGCAAACGGAGGATCGAGCAGGCTTGGGGATGCTGAAGTCCGCGGAAAGCGGCCGTTGACAGATGGACTTCGAGTAAGCGAACGCGGCGACTCGATCGCGTCGAGGAGGAGCGTATCGCGTTGGGTGGTGTGAGCTGTAAAGGGGGTAGAAGAGGTCCATGGCGGGAAAGGGGCGAGCTTGGGGCTGGAAAGACGCACGTGGCGAGTGGTGAGGTGCTCCGTGGAGCGCACTCGTCTGGGCCTATGCTGGTGCAGATGCTGGTGCAGATGCTGGCGCGGAGAGGGCGAGTCTCTCAAGTAGGCGGGATACGCAGGCGAAGGCAGGAAAGACGTGACGGCTGTTTGACCCCTTGGCGGATCACGGCCAGCTGATGCAACATCGCGTTCGCGCTCACTTGGCCACGACCGGATTCGCGCCGATACCTGGTCGCGCTGTGAGCTATAGATCGCTGCCGACGTAGGAATCACCGAGATGATGGGCGTGTGGGAGCTGGCTGGACAATCGAGAGCCGACTCGGGGGAGCGCAAGCCATCGGAGAGCGCAGCCGACCACGACGGCGATCTCCGATACGTGACCGAGTTCGGGCGCGAGATGGTGTCGAGTGCGCGCCGACAGGTTGAACAGCCTCGACGCTTGCGGCTGTATCACAGGAAAGATTGCGATGCTGCGAAGCATGGTGGAGCACTGCGCTACGCAATGCTCGATCGCGCCAGTTCAAACGAGTGATGGCAAAGGCAGGTGACAAGAAAGCGTAAAGGTCCGGCACGGCATAGCTTGAGCGTTATTGATGAGAAAGGAGAGAGTGTGAAGCAGTGATTGGGTGGTGAGCGAAAAGCATGGGCTGGAACTAGAACGATTGTGGGAGCATCGCATGCAGACGAGGAAGGAGTTCAATCTGCCGCAGCGGCAAGTGGGGGTGGGATGAAGAATGGCGGTCGCGAGGAATGAAGCCAAGAGGACGATCGTTCATGGTCTTTCGAGAGATGGCACAGACATGAAAGCGACGGTCGGGAATGTGACAGCGATGCCACAAGGCAAGAAGCCTTCTGAACTTGCAAGCGACAGGCTACCACTGCGGCAGAGCCAGAAAGTAGGCATGTCTGAAAGAGGACGAGAGGATGGCGGGTTTGCGGCTCTGCACGGCTTCAAACAATAGCGCAGACGCAAGCGAGGGCGCAGCCGATGCAGCTGCTGGTCGATCGGTATGTTCCTGAGTGGTGACTGCGATCTTGTCACATCCGAATCGTTGAGCGGGCCGAGTTGTGACGCCCGAGCTGATGAACTTGGAGGCTGCTGAAAGCCGAACCTCAGCCGGCTTCGGGCCGTGTGCTACAGACTGCTGCAGTCAAGTTGCAGCAGGTCGTGGGAAAAGACGGGCATAAAGAGCATGTTGCATAAGCACATGCTGTTACGGTAACCGCAACTGCGCTTTCGATTCGACGCAGCTCTGCTTCATGCTGTTCGGCATTCTCAGGCCAGACGCGCGCCCAAGAGTGGCACTTTCCGACACGAGCACATATGCAGGGTGGTGCAAGCGAGTCGTTGCAGAAAAATCTATACCGCCCATCGGTGCAGCAAGCGTGCAGCTCCGATTGGCAAGCATCACACCTGCACAGCAATCGTTTCACACCGCTTCTCTGCCGAGCCCCGCGCTTAGAGCAACCACCACTTCATGCCGCTGCAAACAAATCCCACCGCGGCTCAGTTAAGCGCCTCCAACACCGATCCTCACGACGACCACCATCGCAATCAAAAACAGGCGTGCACAAACGCAGACGTAGCAAGATGTTCTGGCAAAAGAATTATAACGTTTCCCAATGTAAAACTATACACGCCCACCGTCCATGCCCTTGGGAGGATAGAGCTGAATCAAGATTCAAGGCGACACTACGGCCGACGTCATGTCTGCTGAACAGCTGGAGCGGCGACAGTCGGCTGCTCTTCCTTGTGCGAAGCGGTCTCTGCCACCTGCGGGTTGCTGCGCGCAGCAGTATCCTGATCGCTCTCGTTGGTCTGTGAGCTGAGCGAACCGTCGTGAACGGTATGTGCGACCTTTTCGTGCATGTCGAGCGTCTGACCATGGTTGGGCTGGTAGTTGCCCTCGAGGTCGCGGTTGATAAAGGCATAGTCGTACGCCCACTCGCCACACTGGTCCTCGTCCATACCCACAATCTCGCCAAGCTCCGACGCGCGGAACGGCCCGATGAACGGCGTGTGGTCGAGCACAAACATGATGGCAAACGTCACACCGCCACACCACGCCGTCACGGCAACGCAGTACGCCAGCTGGTACGCCAGCTGGATCCAGTTGCCGTCGAGCCATCCACCGGGGATGACGAGGATGCCGTCGTTGTTCGCCACCGACGCCTGCGTAAAGATGCCGGTGAGCAGCGTGCCGACGTAGCCAGCGAGGGCGTGGACGGAGAAAATGTCCATCACATCATCGACGCGCATGGGGCCCTTGAGCACGGTGGCAAAGTTGGACACGGCGGCCGAAACGACACCAATAAGCACCGAGGCGGGCAGACCGACAAAGCCGGCAGCGGGCGTGATGGCGACCAGGCCGGCAATCGCACCGGTGCAGAATCCGACCACGGACCACTTGCGCTCCAGACGGAAGTCGAGGAACATCCAGGTGAGACCGGCGGCGGATGCGGCGAGGTTGGTGGTGCTGATGGCCATGGCGGCGCGGATGTTGGCGGCAAAGGTGGAGCCGCCGTTGAAGCCGATCCATCCGACCCAGAGGAAGACGGTGCCGAGCACAATGTGCGACACGTTGTGCGGCTTGAACAGCAGACGCTCCGTGCCGTATCCGTGACGCGGGCCGAGGTAGTAGGAAATGACGAGTCCGGTGATACCCGAGTTGATCTCCACGGGTCCACCGCCTGCATAGTCGAGGACGCCCCACTTGAACGCCCATCCCGTCGGATTCCAGACCCAGCACGCAATCACGTCGTACACAAGCGTGGTCCACACAAATGTGAATACGAGGAACGGCCACACGCGGCCGCGCTCGCACGCAGCGCCGATGGCGATGGCCGGCACGAGGTTGGCAAACATGCACTGGTAGATCGAGTAGACGATCTCGGGCACCTTGTTGTTGGCCTGGGGCACGGGTCGTTCGAGCACGCCCATGTGGCCAAAGTTGCGCAGATTGCCGAGGAAGGCGCCCGAGGTCTGGGAGAAGGCGAGCGAGTAGCCCCAGAAGAACCACTGGAACGAGACCACGGCGAGCGCGGCGAGCGTGAGCAGCAGCAGGTGCAGCGCGTTCTTCCTGCGCGCCAGACCCGAGTAGAGGTAGCCGAGACCGGGAATCATGATCCACACGAGCGCCGTGCTGGTGAGCACCCACGAGATGTCACCGGGCGAGTACGAGACGACGCTCGAGCCGTCGGCACCGTACGTGACGATAATGTCGGTGCCGTTGGGTGCAAAGTTGGACGAGCCCGACGTGGAGCCGTCGGGTGCCGAGAGCACACCGTATGTGATGTTGACCATGGTTGGCGGTTCCTCGAAGGGGAGAGGGGATCGCGCGGGTCGAACGGATGGATGATGGAGGGAGGGAGGGAGGGAGGGAGGGAGGGGGGTAGAGGAGTTCAGGTGAAGGGGGTCCGCGCAAAGGAGTGTGGACAAGGGGAGGTCCACTTATAAAGCAGGGTTGGCTTGGCTTGACTCGACGCCGGAGCCCAGCGCGATGCATTCACATTCTCGACGGAGAGGAGCGGGCGTCAAGGGCCAAAGATTCACCGATTGCAAGACGTTTTCCCCCGCTGCGAGATAGCAGATGCGCCTCGAATGGGAGCGGGATCTCGTTGGCTCTCGGTGCGGAGCGAAAGAGTGGATGAGCGTTTGGCGTTGCTCGTGGGAGCTTGTGCTGCGTTTGCGTCTGAGATGCGCTGCGCTGCGCTGCCGCCCAATGCAGGCGAATGTGTGGAACCGTAGGCGAACTTGTTTTTGCAAATTGCCAAACTGCCGCAAACCTTTCGCCCAACGCGAGCCGAGTTTTTCAGCGATCCGACGCACACTCGCTCGTGTGCCTTTTTTTGGGAGCAAGCAAGCAAGCAAGCAAGCAAGCAAGCAAGTGCGCGGGGCCCACAACAACAACCACCTCGGAGGCCGATGCGGAAAAAAGAAAAGAAGAAATCGCTGCCAAGGCCGCACACACACCGCTTTCAACCTGCCCACCAGTTGGAAGGGACGCTGCTGCGGGGAGATCATGGTTATCTCTGATGCCATGGATTGCCAAGCCTTTGCAGCCAATCGCAATTCGCTCATCTCGGCTAGCTTTCAACCACAGATCCATTCGAAGCTTCACCGGGCGCGCGCCACCTTACGAGCTTCTCAC